TCGCAAATCAGTAAATGTGATACCCCATATAAATAAGCTGAAGAATAAAAACCACATGATCATATCAATAGATGCCGAAAGAGCCTTCAACAAAATCCGGCATCCATTTCTGATAAAAATGCTCAGCAATGTGAGAATAGAGGGATCATATCTCGACATAATAAAGGCCATATATGAAAGACCTCGAGCCAACATCATACTCAGTGGGCAAAAATTAAAAGCATTTCCCTTAAGAACAGGAACAAGGCAAGGATGCCCACTTTCGTCACTCTTATTTAACATAGTACTGGAAGTCTTAGCCACAGCAATCAGACAGGAAGAAAAAATAAAAGGGATCCAAATTGGAAAGGAGGAAGTGAAACTCATTAATAGCAGAGGACATGATACTATACGTAGAAAACCCCAAAGACTCCATCAAAAATTTACTAGACTTAATAAATGAATATGGCAAAGTAGTAGGATACAAAATTAACGTCAAGAAATCGATGGCATTCTTATACACCAATGATGAACTCACAGAAAGACAAACTAAGAAAATAATCCCATTTACCATTGCTGCAAAAATAATTAAGATACCTAGGAATAAACTTAACCAATGAAATAAAGGACCTATTTGCAGAAAACTACAGGTCATTGAAAAAAGAAATAGAGGAAGATATAAAAAAGTGGAAGCATATACCTTGTTCATGGATTGGAAGACTTAACATCATTAAAATGTCCATACTACCCAAAGCAATCTATAGATTCAATGCAATCCCCATCAAAATACCAACAACGTACTTCACAGAACTAGAACAAATACTTCAAAAGTTCATATGAAACCAAAAAAGACCTCAAATAGTCACAGCAATCTTGAAAAAGAAGAACAAAGTTGGAGGAATCACATTACCATTTTTCAGGTTATACTACAAAGCCACTGTAATCAAAACAGCCTGGTGCTGGCACAAGAACAGGCATATAGACCAGTGGAACAGAACAGAGAACCCAGAAATGGACCCAAGGCAATATGCTCAATTAATATTTGACAAAGATGGCAAGAGCATACAGTGGAGTAAAGACAGCCTTTTTAATAAATGGTGTTGGGAAAATTGGACAACTACATGCAAAAAAAAATGAAACTAGACCATCAACTTACACCATACACAAGAATAAACTCAAAATGGATAAAAGACTTAAATGTGACTCATGAATCCATAAAAATCCTAGAAGAAACCAGGCAACAAAATTTCAGATATCATACGCAGCAGAATTTTCACTGATACATCACCTAAGGTAACATAAACAAAGGAGAAAATGAACACATGGGACTACATCATACTAAATACTTCTGCACAGCAAAAGATACAATCATCAAAATGGAAAGGCAGCCCACTGTATGGGAGAGCATAATTGCCAATGATATATCAGGTAAGGGGTTATTTTCCAATATATAGAGAGTGCTTATACAACTCAACAAAAGGAAGACAAAGAATCCAATTAATAAATGGGCAGAGGACACCTCTCCAAACAGGACATGCAAATGGCTGAGAGACATATTAAAAAATGCTCAACATCACTAATCATCAGAGAGATGCAAATTAAAACAACATTGAGGTATTACCTCACACCTGTCAGAATGGCCGCCATTAACAAATCATCAAACAACAAGTGTTGGTGAGGGTGTGGAGAAAAGGGGACTCTAGTACACTGCTGGTGGGAATGCAGACTGGTGCAGCCACTATGGAAAACAGTATGGTGTTATCTCAAAAAATTAAAAATTGAATTGCCATTTGACCCAGTGATCCCACTTCTAGGAATATACCCTAAGAAGCTTGAAACACCAATCAGGAAGAATATATGTACCACCATGTTCATAGCAGCACTATTTACAATAGCTAAGATCTGGAAACAGCCCAAATGTCCATCAGTAGACGAAAGGATAAAAAAAGCTGTGGTACATATACACAATGGAATACTATGCAACTGTAAGACAGAAAAATCTCTTATCCTTTGAGACGACATGGAGGGACCTGGAAAGTATTATCCTAAGCGAAACAAGCCAAACAGAGAAAGACAAGTATCGTATGATCTCATTTATTTGTGGGATATAATGAACATAACAGTCTGAGGAATGGGGTAGTCCCAGAGACGTGGAAGTGGGGTACAGACTGACGATCCCCAGAAGAGGGGGTGGTGTGGGAGAGATAAACCACAGAATTTATATGCATGTATGCATGAACAATGGACATGGACAACAAAGCTGGGAACGGGGCAGGGAAGCCGGGGGAGGGAGGAATCTGGGGGGAAAAGGAGAAACATCTGTAATAAAAATAAATAAATAAAATTAAAAAACATTTTAAAAAAAGAGAATGAGTGAACCATGGGGAAGAGAGTGTGAAAAGGGAATCCCAAGAAGATAACCAGGAAGGCTTTCCCTGAGAGGCAGGAGGAAAACCAGAAGTTTGCCTACAATGAGTGATAAAAACTCCAGGGGAGTGAGATTTTCCAAAAGGAGTTTCCAGAGTCAAGTAAGATGGTCATTGAAAGATATCCTGTGAATACAGCGTTTAATCTAGTCATTCGTGGTGCAGGGCACCCAGGATTCTCCGTTTCAACAGTCTGGTATCAGAAGCCCACACCAATGAGACTGGGCTGGCTGGCTGGGCTGCCTCTCCCCTCAGTCCTGTTCCATAGCCTGTCAGAGGAGGGGAGAAGAAGAGGGAGAGGGAAATGCAGCTTCAGCCTGCGGCCTTTTGGTGTCATTTGAGGGGACCTCAGCTGGACAGTAGAGGGCAGGCAGCAGCTAGTGCATGGCCCACCAAGTTCCTCCTGACATTGGAACACCGAAAACATTGACATTTGAACACAAATGTCCCCTGGAGCCTGTCCCCGGTGGAAATTCCCATTTGTAAACCATATTGACTTTAATCTGAAGTGTCAAAAAGGTTGCCCAGGACTCTGGGAGCCACCCAGCTGAAAGCACATTTGTATGAAGGTTAGGGCAAACAAAATGGAATTCAGAACATTTTTTAAGATCTGCGCCAGTGTGAACTTTTCCAGGAAACATGGCAAAAATGGACCCTCAGGCTCAAAAGCACTGGGTCTTATCATTATTCATTTGTATTCTTATTGAAATATATATAAATATATACCGAAATATATATAAACCTGGGCAAACGGTGAAGGGAAAGAACAGCACATGTCTTATTTCTTTAACAGGCACAGGGCTGGAGGAGGCTTCTGTAGAGTTTAATAGGCAGCTTTATGTATTTATATGCTTTGACTGGAGCTAAAGAGCTCTGTGCCACACAATGGGCAGTTTCTAGTTGGATTTTAAAAGAAAATAACTTTGATCATTTCAAAAGCAATGAAGCCTGATGCAGCGAAGAGAAAAGAGGGCGGTAATTTATGGCTACCATTAAGGACACAAAGACAAAGGCAGAGGGAACGTTTCACTAAGTGAAGATTTACAAATGTGTAAAATCCACCCTTATGCCTAGAAAAAGCCGAGTATCTCTGTCCACCAAACAAAAGGGGGTGGGAGGGAGGGGCGAAAGACAGAAAAAGGGATGCAACCTGCCTGCCTTCACTGGGGATGAAAAGGTCAAAAGAAAAACAACCACAGAAAAGTTATTTTCTCAGGTTCTTCATCAGGCAGCAGCACTAGCAACTGGAGCCCAAAGAGACAGTCTCAGACTGGGCACCATGATCGTGGGAGGGACAAGGACAGCAGGGGAAAGGTGCAGAGCAGGGAGCCCTGGGAGGGGGCTGGACCCTGGGAAGATGTTTTTTGTGATGTTTATTTTTTCCTAATTGTCAAAGGAATGAATAGATGGAGATGTAGACACAGATATAGATATAAATACAGATATACACAAATGCACATGTATATATTCATAGGAGAAATTTTAATAAATGCAGAGAAGCTCAAAGAACATAAAAATCCCTGAGTATGGTGTTCATTGCATCTAGGAATTATTGCTACATTTGTTCCTGGAGTGACTGCCGAGTGTGGTGGGTCCGGTCTTCTATGCCTAGGGTGGTGTGGGAAGGCCCTGTGCAGTGTGCTCCCTTATAAGGACGTCTTGCTTGGCGGGCCAGGTGACAGGCGCTCCCTGTATTTGCAGCTGGCTGGACCTGATGTTTGTGAGTTCTGGTGGTCATAGATATCACCTGTGCTGCAGGCAAAACTGGGGCTCTATCTTGTCCCTTGTGGTTCACCCTTGACCTCTAGCCCCCTTCTCCATTTCGGCTATCCTGAAGGTATATTTAACTGGTTTTCAGTGAAGTAAACATTTTCTGCTGTGATTCTGGGCCCAGTAGTGGGCCAGAGAGACAGCCTCAGCATGCCTCATGGTGGGACAAGTGGGTCACGGGCCTGCAGAGGGCTGTGGTGGGCAATCAGAGAGCCTGAACTGGGTGAAATAGAGAGGGGTGCAGAGGGTGTGCTGAGGGGAGCAGAGAAGCTGGGGTCACCCTCTTCACTAAGTTGTCCTGAGTGTCAGATGTGTGTGGAGTCACCCCTCTCCATCCACCCTCACCCCTCCCACGTGGAGAGGCGGAAAGCCCCATAGGTGGCTTTGGAGTTGAATTCCCCAGGACACTTTCTGGGTGCCCCGTGTCCAAATATTTCAGGCTATAAGGGCTGTCTACTCGCACGTGAGACCGGGTCAAGTTGTAGGACACTGCAAACAGAGCAGGAGGCTTTGAGGACTGCAGGGAGATGGGAGTGAGGGAGTCACGGCCCTCGGCAGGCTGACAGCCACCCTCAGGCCACCGTGGCCGCGCCCCCTGCGCCCCAATCGAGGGGGAAGGGAAGGGGCCGGGAGGGGCGGCACTGCCCCCGCGCCGCCCGCCCGGCCCGGAGGACCGTGTGAAAATGAGGCCGGGGCTCGGGGGCCGGGCGGGGCCAGGCCGGGGTGTCAGAGCGCGGCGGGCTGGGCGCCCGCACACACCTCCCGAAGCCGCTGCTGTGCTCGCAGCCCGCGCCACCGCCTCTGCCCGCAACCGCCGCGCCTTCCATGGGGGTCCGGGGCCGCGGCTTTCCTGGGGCGGCCCAGGCGCTGCTGCTGCTGCTGCTGCTGCCGCCGCCGCCGCTGCTGACGGCAGCTGTCCTGCCCAGCCCGGCCCATGTCCTGGAGCTGGCGGAGGGTGAGTGTCTGGCCGCAGGGGCACACCTGGCAGGCGGGCGGGCTCCGGGAAGGGAGTCCTGGGTCCCCCGTGGGGTCGACCGGGGCGGGCCGGCCAGGCTGTGGGCTGCGCTGCCGGAGCTTCGTGTGGCCCCCGCTCCCCTGGGACCCTCACCCGCCGGCCAGGCCAAGGCGCCACCAGCCACCGCTGGGGCTAGAGGCCCAGGGCCCGGTACCGTAGCGGCCTCGGACCCGGGGCTGATGACAGTTCCTGTCTGGGTTCCTGCCTCCTGGGGTCCCTGGAGAGTGCTTGCTGGTCAGACTCCGCTGCTGAGCAGGGAGGAGGGCACTGGAGTCTAGGGGATCCAGCTCCTCCTGGTCTAGATGGGGAAACTGGAGGCCCCAGCCAGGATACATCCTGAGGTCCTGGCAGCTTTGTCCTGCTCTCTGGGGGGCCGAGAAGTTCTCCTGGGGGCTTCACAGTTGGCTCGGGGATATATCCATTCGCAGCGCAGCCCCTGTTTGAGGAGCCCGGGATACGGTAAGCAGCAGCCAGCCTGGCTTTGGGGCAGAGGTAGATAAGTACTCTGGACAGTCTTCCTTAACTGGACTTGCGATACTTTCAAAACTTTTGTTTTAAACTAACATCCTGGAATGGTGTCAACCAGGAAATACTTTAGCCAAGGCCTGTGTCCAGGTTGAGAGGGCAAGCGGTGGTGAAGGGGGTGGGTACCATTCCCTCTCTGCACCATCTGAGAGCTCAGGGTGGTGTGCTCAGAGCCCAGGGCAAGCTTTCTCTCCATACCCCAAGAGAAAGGTGACAGACACGTCTCAGTTTTCAGAGCTGTTTTGCCAACTTGATCTTTCCTTCAGCAGGCATTTACTATTGCCCACACTGTGCCAGGCAACAGGGACACAGGCCCCATCTGTAATCAAGACATCATCTAGAGGGGGAGACAGGCCGGAAAACAGTAACAACCCTGTGTGATATGTGCTATGAAAGAAGATAAACATGGGGAGCACATCTTAGGGGACACCTCACCTACACTCGGAGGAGGTGGCAGGCTTCCTGGAGTAGGTGAATCTGAGTCTTGAATGCATGTAAAAAGTGTGGGGAGTATTCTAGTCAGAAGGCTCAGGCTGTGCCTGGAACCGCACCTGGAAATGGTCTGGTTCATCCCAGGGGCTCCCAAGCAGTTTAGCTGATGAGGAGTGAAGTGGGGTGGGCTGGTGGCAGATGATGCTAGAGAGGGGCCAAGGTCAGATGACACAGGGTTGGGGTACCATACCAGGAGCTGCTGTGCTCTTTTGCAGATGTGGACGAGTGTGCCCAAGGGCTAGATGACTGCCACACCAATGCCACATGTCAGAACACACCTTCCTCTTACAAATGCTCCTGCAAGCCTGGCTACCAAGGGGAAGGCACACAGTGTGAAGGTAAGTGTCTTGGGGATCAGTGGTGGGTGGGCCAGCAGGGGAAGCTCCCACCTCCTCAGCTCTTGTAGCGGCCACTCATGTTTGCAAAAGTGCCGCCTCTTACCCCAAGTCATATCCCCCACTCTCGAAATACATTTCAGATCCTTAAAGGACTGGGAACATGAGGTCTCATGTTCCCCAGAGCTGCTCATATAGTTTTACCGGGCTCTAAAATGTCCTTTGTGTCAAGCTTCTAAAAAAGAAAAGGGGGTTTTAGTATTTTTTTGGTCCCACTCAGTTTGGGGACAGAAAGTCGTCAGCTGCGTTGATCAGGAGGGCTGTGTCTACCAGAGCTGAGCAGATCCTGCTCTTCCCTGGGCAGTTTGCACCTTCTCTCTGGAGTCTGAGTGCCAGAGTCCTGCCCTCCCCTTCAGCTCCAGAGCTCCACCTTGTCCATGGCTCTGCGTGGTTTGGCATTGTGACCTGCCATGCTCTAGAGCTACACCAAGGGTCTGCCACTTTTGGAGCTGCAAGGTCACCCTGGAAAGATGTGTACAGGTGGATATGTTAAGCTGTTAGAGCTCTAGATCTGGGAGCCTGAAGTCTGGACTCTGCCATTTTGAGTTATTGGCCACTGGGGGTTAGCTCAGTGTCATGAACTCTGAAGTTCAGAATTAGCAGGGACTGGGCCCTTAGAGGAGGAGGCTGTTCCTGGGGGTGGAAATGATAGCATGTTGGGGCTGGCAGGGCTTTTCAGGGAGCTCTGAGCCAATGCCATCCTTCATTTTACAGATGAGAATACTGAGGCCCAGGGGGATTGGGAAAGGGACTTGTGGCTATGACCACACAATTAGCCTGCAGGTGAAAGAAAGTCAAATTGCCACTCGAGCTCTGCTCCTGGCCCACGTCTCTTCTAGTCACTCAGCCTCCTGGTGTCTCTCTCTGGTTGGGTGAGAAGTCCTAATCTTTATGGTTTCCTTTTTGCTGAGGAGCCAAACTCCTGCCACTTCTATCTGGGAAGGCGTGCTTCTGGTCAGGTTCACAGCAAGTGGAGTTGGTGGTCCCTCCATAAAGCCCTTCTGTTTCTCCAAGTTCATATTTTCCCACTGACAGACAACCATCTCTCTATCTGCCCTACATCCTGGGAAGCCAAAAGGCCACCTCTCCCTGCAACATCGGTCTGTCGATTCCTCCATACCTCTCCCTCACCATATTAAATATTTTATTTACAGCATTAGAATTCACACATGTTGGTACCCTGCTTAGGGAAAAATTTTTCACTTTTTCACTGTGTCTTCTGGTCACTATCCTCTCTGGGGACAGGAATCAGGCCATGGTTTCTTTTGGATAAAGTGCATATTTAGTAAATGATGTCGAAAGACAGGTGGCAAGAATTTCCTTAGTCTTAGCTGTTGAGTTTGACATATCACAAAATTGAATTGCTAATTGAAAAGTCTACTATTTAGTTTAAAATAACTAATGATTCACTGGCATTGTTGCTTTTTTATATTTAAACTACTTTAAAAATAATATATGATTAGTGTTATAAAAAGCCAAGCAACACAAACATGTAAAAAATAGAAAATTAAAAACTTTCCTCTTTTATCCATCAGTAATCACCATTAACAGGGAGCAAATATTCTTTGCATTTTAAGCTAAAAGCCTAGGAACATTTGCTCTGTGAATGCTTGTAGTATTTATAAACCTAGTGAGGAAGACTGTCCCTGTTTAGTTTGGATTTCTTGATACAAGAGTCCAGAAGTAGAAGGATTTCAAGGATTCAAAGGTGTAACTCCTTTATGTGTTTCTTGGCTTATTGGTTTTTAAGCCTTTTGGGTCCAACTCACAGTATCATTTGCTCCAGTCTAAGTTCAAGGATGGGGACTGGATTTACCCAGAGTGAAGAGAAATTTACCCTCCACAAAGTTTCTTCTGCCAAAATGTTGGACATGTGAAAGTATGGGCCCTGAATAAGTAATTTTTAAATAATATGATTCATAAATAGCTTTAGGTAAAAGATATTTTATTCTAAGTGATCTTTGCTTTTATCTCAGACTTTGGGGAGGGGATGTTTCAGTGTTCAGTGTTCAGTATATGGTCCTTACTTCTCAGTTTAGAGAACTGAGTGAAGTTTAACAAATGAATCTAAACTTGATTTTTGTATAAGGAGCTGTATTTTTTTTAAGCTTTTTACTTAGACATTATTTTAGGCATCAGAAAATTTGCAAAAATAGTGCAGAATTCACATGTGCCCTTTATTTATCTTACCCAAATATGAACAACTTATATAACCACAATACAGTATCAAAACCAGGAAATTAACATTGCAACAATATTATCAACTAAACTATAGACCTTATTAAAATGTCACCATTTTTAGTGTTCTCCCCACCCCACCAACTCAAAGCCCCACATGACATTTATCTGTTGTCTCTTTGTCTCTTCCAGTCTGTGACAGTGCCTCAGTCTTTCCTGGTCTTTCATGACATGGCCGCTTGATGAGTATTGTTCAGTTCTTTAGTTTGCCTTATGTTTTCTCACGATAAGCATAGATATGGCAGGAGTTGAAAAGATAAGAGAATTTCCTATGTTTTCTCATGATAAGAGTGTAGTTATGCATTTGTAGTAATACAAAAGCAAAGCTTTCGACAAACTGCTGCAGAGGTGCCATTGTGCATCACATGTGGGGCTCACGATGCCAACATGTGAACAGGTGATGTTAATATTGATCACCTGGCTAAGACGGTATACTATGGGTTTCTCCACTGCAAACTTAGTATTTTTTCTCTTTCAATAAATACATGTCTTAGGGCCTATACTTTCAGCCTATGCTAATATTCTGTTTCTTCTCAAATCTTTGCCCATGGATTTTAGCGTCCAACTGTGGATTTTGCCTGCAACAATTATTACTGTGATGTGTGTGCCCTTTGGTAATTTTGTATTCCCATTGTTCCTTATACAGCTATTAAATTAGAATTCTTCTGTAAGGAAGATTCCTTCTCCCCCATTTATTTATGCATTGATTTATATGTTTATGTATTTATGCCAGTATGTACTCGTGGGTATTTATTTAATTATATGTATAATTATTATTTTTGGCTCAAATTATTTTAGCTTTAGCCATTGGGAGCTCCATCATATTGTCTCCTGTGTCCTTCATACATGAGAAATTCCTAATTTTCTAATACTACAAGATGCTCCAGACTCATCTTTTATTTTCCCCATCCCAGCCCTGGAATCGACCACTTCTCAAAGGAGCCCTCTCTGGCCCCTTTTATTGAAAAGTGGTGTATAGATACCAAGATCTGGATGTTTGATGTTTTCACTGTTACTGGGATGATTCCTTCTGGGTCCTCTCAGTGGACAGAGCTAGAAAATATATGTATGTTTACTAACCCACACCTACACACATATCTCTATTAATTTCTTATATATATCCCTTTGTGTGTGAGTATATATACAAATATATATAAAACAGTGAGTTACAATGATACTTTGGATTCCAAAGCAATACCACAAGATTCATTCTTATCTCCTGCTTTGCTTATTCGTAACTTTTTTCTCCAACAGTGAGGAACTTGGTTCTCATCTGCAGTACATTTACCTGTTTGTTCAGTTCTATTATACAGATGAAATATTTACAGAATTACCAATCTATAACCCTGGGAGTAAAACAGGTTTACTAAATAGAGTACAGTCTTTGTATACAGCTGTTTTTCTTTTTAATCTTTTAACAGCCAGTCAAAATATTGTTTTTCAAAGTTACTTAGGCTAGTACTTTTCTTCCCCATTCCCTTCAGTGTGGTTTTTTTATTCATTTATAATACAGTATATTTATTTGTCTCTATTTGTATTCCTTTAAAAAACATTTTTTTTTCTTTATTGATTTTAGAGAGACAGGAAGGGAGAAGAGAGAGAGAGAGAAACATCGATGAGAGAGAACATCGATTGGCCGCCTCCTGCATGCCCCGCACTGGGGATTGGGCCCACAACCTGGGCATGTGCCCTGACCGGGAATCAAACTGGCGACCTCTTGGTACATGGGTCAATGCTCAACCATGGAACCAAACCGGCTGAGCTGTATTCCATTTTTTATCTCTCCCTTCACCCCTACCCCCACTTCCTGGTTAATTGTATGTACATACATACATATGTATATATGCATTCATGTGTGTATGTAAAACATTGTTATGGTTCTGAGAATCAAAGCTATACAAAAACACAGAGAAGAGTTACTCCCTCCTCCTGTTCCTAATAAACAAAAACACAGAGAAGAGTTACTCCCTCCTCCTGTTCCCATTCCTTCTCCTCTCCACCCCTTTTTCCACATACTGTCAGTTATCATCTCTGCAGTTTCTGGTTTATCCTTCCTATATTTCTTTTACACAAATGAGCCCCTAGATGTGTATTTTATTTTAACTACTTTAATGTTATAATACATACCGTAAGATTCACCAATTCTACTAAGTGTACAAATGCACGATTTTGGGTAAATTAGCTGAGTTGTGCAACCTTTACATAATATAGTTTTTAAACATTTCCCTCATCTCAATCAGATTCCTCATGCCCATGTACGGTTAATCCTGTTCCCAGCCCCAACTCCAGGCAACTACCAGGAATCTATTTTCTGTCTCTACAGATTTACCTTTTCTGAACATTTTATGTAAATGGAATCATGCAGTATGTGGTCTTTTGCATTTATCTTCTTTCACATAGCATAATTCTTTCAAGGTTCATCTATGTTGTAGCTTTTATTGACATTTAATTTATTTTAATTGTTGTCTAGTATTCCATTGTATAGAATATATATTTTGTATGTGTGGATATACATTCACCAGTTGATAGACATCTGGGTTGCTTCTACTTTGGGGCTATTATAAATAATGTTGCTATGAATATTCACTTGCAAGTCATTTTTTGGACATGATTTTATATTTCTGGGTTATATGGTAAATTTATCTTCAATCTTTTAAGGAACTACCAAATTGTTTTCCAAAGTGACTGTACCATCTTATATTATAATCAGCAATGTGTGAGGATTCCCATTTCTTCATAGACCTGCCAATATTTGTCATTCTCTGTCTTTTTTATTATAATTATTCTAGTTAGTGTGAAATGATATCTCACTGTAGTTTTAATTTGAATTACCCTAATAATTAAGGATGCTGCACATCTTTTCATGTGCTTTTCACATATCTTCTTTGGTAAAATGTCTATTCAGATCTTTAGCCCATTCTAAAATTGTTTGTTTTCTTATTAAGTTGTAAGAGTTCTTTGTAAGTCCTTTATAAGGCATGTGATTTACAGCTATTTTCTACAGATCTGTGGCCTGTCTTCCTTTTTTTTTTTTTTTTTTTAATGGTGTCTTTTAAAATGCAAAAGTCTTTAATTTTGATAAAGTCCAATTTATAAATTTTAAAATTTATGGATTTTGTGTTTGGTGTTATATCTAAGAAATCTTTACCTAACCCAAGGTGTCAAGGATTTTCTCATAAATGCTTTATAATTGTAGCTCTTATATTTAGGTCTCTGATCAATTTTGAGTTTGATGTTTGCATCTAGTGTGAGGTAAGAGCCAAAATTAATTTTTTTGCAGATGAATACCCAATTGTCTCAGCACTATTTATTGAAAAGACTGTCATTTCTCCTGACAGATTGTCATAGCACTTTGGTCTAAAATTAAATGACCATAAATATAAGGGTTTGTTTTTGGACTCTTAGTTCTGTCCCATTGATCTCTATGTCTTGATAACTATAGTTATGTAGTAAGTGAAAGTCTTCCAAACAAAATTTATATTTAAAAATTGGCCCAGCCAGTGTGGCTCAGTGGTTGAGTGTCGACCCATGCACCAAGAGGTCGCTGGCTCGATTCCCTGTCGGGGCACATGCCCAGGCTGTGGGCCTGGTCCCTAGTGAGGGGTGTACAGGAGACGGCCAATCAGTGTTCTCGCTCATCGATGTTTTATCTCTCTCTCCCTCTCCCTCTCCTTTTGCATTTCCATATACATTTTAGGATAAGCTTATCAATTTCTGGGGGAAAAAAGCATGTTGGAATTTCATGAATGTGTGTGCGCATGTATATTTTTTAAATATCCCCTTAGTTATTACATAAAGATACAGAAGCTCTTTTGCATTTAATTTTACTTAATAGTAGATCCTAGAAACTACTACAAATTTTTAAAATTCTACTTAATGGTAGATCCTAGAAACTACTCCAAATAGTAGATCCTATGAACTACTCAGTTCATAGAGATCTTTATCATTGTTTTTTTGTTTTCTTTAACAGCTGCATAGAACTTCATTGAGTAAATGTCCCATAATTCTTCAACTACTCTGCTATGTATAGGCATTTAGGTTGTTAGTATTTTGTAATTACAAATGCTGCAGTGAATAATCTTTTGCATATTTATTTTCCTGTTGTTGTTGATGTATCTTCAGGGTAGATTCCTAGAAGTGGGATGCCTGGTTAAAAGGTAAATGCATATTTCTCCATACTGAAGAAATAGCATCTGACTGGTTTACTTCTCTTTTATTCCTCAGACATTGATGAATGTGAAAACAAACTCAAAGGAGGCTGTGTCCATGACTGTTTGAACGCTCCAGGCAATTATCGCTGTGCATGTTTTGATGGCTTCGTGTTGGCTTTTGATGGTCATAATTGTCTTGGTAAGGAGAACGGTTGGAAATGGCAATTCTCCTCTACCCTCTGGCACCCCCACCTCGTTTTTCCCTTTGATGAAATACTCATTAAAACGAAAAGGGGATCAGAGACTTGTGTTTTCTGGCTCCCTAGAAATTACACTCTCTGACAGAAAACCAGTTAAAGTGTTTTCGTTTTTATTGTGATTGTTTATAATATAAATCCTCCTTAGTCCAAGGAGGGGGGAGGGCATCATCATTTCTATTTACTGACTTTCTAGCATTGACTTGTCACCTTTGAGGTCTTTGATTTTGTGTTAAAAGGGTCTTGACTTATAAACATTTCTTTAATGGTGTAGGTGTCTCTATTCTAGAAACAGATAAAACTACTTGTCCTGAGGGATCCAAATGTATGCTTGAATCTTATCTAGGTAGACCTCCTTCTTTTTTCTTCAACTAGAGAGAAATTCAAACAGAAACCTTCCATCAGCATCCTCCTCGCATTCCACCAAACAGAAATATCTGTTGGAGTTTCAGTCCCTGAGTTAGGGACTGCAGAGTGGTGTGTACATTGGTTTCTTAAGCCAGGAATAAAGCAGAACTCAGAAATAGCAAGCAATTGGATAGGGTTGAGTATTGGATAGTCTCTTAGAGGATGCAGTACATCTGGCAGGCAGGTATTTGCGGTCTGTTTGCATTTTAAGGCTGGTGTCATCACATGATGGGAGACAGATGGCATCAGATTCCTTTGACACTGATGACCCTTCATGTGGCTGACCCACTGATGTCCCCTTGGTTGACCAAGAAGCAACCTAAGCCAGGCTCTGACTCTGTGGGGACAGCTATTTAGATGCTCCCTTACAGTGCAGTGGGAATAGCCATTTGATCAAAATCTTTGAGATCACCATAAAAGTCAAAGGTAAGTAGGGGAAGAACTTGTATTTTGGGTGAAGTATTTTTCTTTGGGACTCACTCCTCAGATGACCTTCATCCATGTCAGTGTCACCTGGAGCCTCATCCTGATGTAAACTCTGTCCCTCCCTGTCTGCGCCCTGTGTAAGAGGCCAGGCTTTGAGTCAGACCACTTGGCTTGATTGAGGGCTGGAGGAACACTAAGCCCTTTTCAGACTTTCTAGTCCATCGGTACCCCCCCAAAAGCATATTAGAGAGAGAATCCCTAGAGCAGCAATACATCGAGTTTAATGAAAAACTCAGAAAAAGGAAATCACTTTTACTGTATAATTTGTTGGGAAGCACAGTGTGTTTGTGCAGTTTTTTGATGGTTTATATTTGTTTTGTTCTTACCATTTTCTGGGGGAATCTCACATTTTCCTTTAATTTGCCAACAGTGGCATTTCAAGGCTTTGCGTCTGATGGCAGACCCAGTCATCACGGTTATGCTTACACTCATAGCCTGGGAGAAGTGTGAGCCTCCTAAGAACAAGAAGCCAAACCATCCAGGAGTGAAGGACCTGGGCCAGGGCTGGGTGGGGTGGTGCTGAGCACAGGCTGGCTCGGAGATCCTGAGTCCCACAGGCTCCTTGCCTGGCCCCCAGCACAGGTATCTCAGCAGACTATCTCCTTTTCCCGTCCTTGGGGGTCTTTGTGGGTTTGGTAGTGAGGATCTGCCTTATACAAAGATCCTGAGCAGCCAATGACTGTCTAGATGGGCGAAGGATTCTCTCACGGGAGGGCGTGAGGGAGCAAGGGGCCCGCTGAGAAGAGCAGGGCCAGCCTGCACAGACTTCTCTGCCAGTGCCTCTCGAAGGGCTGAAGCGTGTTGTGACCAGAGACAAGTACAGAGCCAGGGCTTTTCAGGAGCTGCCATTTCTTGGGTTCTCTGGGATGACCCTCACCTCTCCGCGGCACCCCTAACCACACATCGGCCACAGATACATTAGCCAGCATCTACAAGGTACAAACACCACTTAGCTCTGGCACTAACCCGACTCCTCCAACATCTGAATGCCCGTGAGCCCGAGAAATGAAAGGCTGCTCCTCCCGCCCACCCCACCCGAGTTCAGCTTCTGGTTGCCGAGTGTCTGGAAGCAGGGCAGAGGCTTCGCTTTGGCAGCTGTGGTTCTGCCCCCTGGCTGCACATTGGAATCGCTTAAGAAGTTTAAAACAGCACCATGGCTGCCCTGGCCAGTGTGGCTCAGTGGGTTAAGCGTGATCCCACACATTAAAAGGTCGCAGGTTCGATTCCTGGTCAGGGCACATACCCAGGTTGTGGGTTCGATCCCCAATTGGGAGTACGTGCGGGAGGCAAACAATTGCTGTCTCTCTCTCTCTCTCTCTCCTCCTCCCCCTCCCCCTCCCTTCTCTCTCTAAAATCAATAGAAACGTATCCCCAGGTGAGGATAAATAAATAACTAAATAAAACAACACGTGGCCTAGGTTTCACCTAAGTCTACTTCTACTAGTGTCTCGGGTGTCTCGGGAGGTAGGTCCAGGCCTCAGGGTTCTGACGTGTAGCCAGGCTTGTAAAGCACTGTTTTACAGTCTGGAGAAACTCACCAACCTAGCGATATATATGTGTGCATGCGAACACACACACTCTGTGTTAATCCAATCAGAGTGCCTCACCTCGCTGAATGACACATTTGCAGTGGCTTTGGAGAAAAGGAATAGTGGGTGAAATGTGGGGCAGGGTGTGGCAGCTCAGAAGGGAACACACCTTTACCCAAAAGCAATCTAGGGTTTGGTGTTCGGGGAAGTGGAGTTCTCGGGCTCCCTGAGTCCTCACTGAGGAATACCTAGGCCAGGTGTGTTCCAGCCCGGTTCATCCTCAGGAATGTGCTCCCTTCACCCTTTGGCACAGAGAAGGGCAAGTTTGTTAGGCTTTAGGGGATGGCTCGAGTCCCATCAGTTTAGAAAGGCATCTGCTCAGTGTGGGAAGACCGATGGCTGTAAGATCTGAAGCTTGAAACCAGATAACAGATATTTAAATGTGAATCTTCTTGTTATGGATGTGCCCAGGAGCTAGCGATAGGCACATGGGACATCAGGCTGGAGAAAATAAATTGTTTTCACATCGGCCTTCTCTTTGAGTCTCTGTTGTGTCTGAGACGTTTCTGAAAGTTTCCTCGGCTTTGGCTCTGGTGGTGCTGTGCTCTCCGCTTGCTTGTTTATGCGTTCGAACAGTTCAGGTACAGCAGCAGGTTCCAGGGCTCTGCCAAATAAAACACAGATCTTGGTCCTCAAGGAGCTTGCCATCCGGTGGAGATGGATAAATAAACGATTTTGAGGCGTCGAAAGGTACAAATTAGCCCTGGCTGGCGTGGCTCAGTGGTTGGAGCATTGGCCATGCACAGAAGGGTGACGGGTTTGATTCCTGGTTAAGGGCACGTACCTGGGTTGCAGGTTCAATCCCCGGCCCTGGTTGATCTCTCTCTCTTCACTTCCCCCTTTACCCTCCCTCCCTTCCACTCTCTCTAACAAAAAGTCAATGGAAAAAACATCTTTGGGTGAGGATTAAAAAATAAAAAGATATACATTTAAAAAAGTATTTTGAGAATGCAGTTTGGTAAGTATATTGATGAAACCATGGGCATGTGACCCAGTGGAAGGAAAGTCCCCTAACCGCACCCTGGAGGGGTGGCCCTGGGGGAGGCATCGCCCTCCTGTGTTTCTGATGGCCCTTCTCTGGGGCTCCTGCTGTCGCCTCTGCCTCCTTCTCCCCAGTTCTACCTCTGGCGTCCCCTTTCTGCTCCCCTCTCTCCCTCCCACACTCCTGCCTTTGGCTTTGTCACATGCATTCACCCCTTCTGGGCCGTCACAGTAAATGTGCTGTCTTCGCGCATCAGGCGTAGGTTTCCCACCGCCTGCCGCCCTGAATGCCAGCAGCTCACTGTCACCTCCCTGCCCGGGGGCCACCACTCCCGCCCCGGCTCTGCCCAGTGCTGCTGTTCTGCCTGGAATCCCTGCTGGTCTGTAGAGGAAGAAGTCCCGCAGGCCGTCCTTCACCACCTTTTCCATGAAACCCATCGACACCCCACAACCGCGTGAGGCCTCTTCCCTTGTGCCACCTGTCGCCACACCTCATAATTACTGGTCCACTTGTCTCTTCCCCTCTCCTGAAGGGCCCGCTCCTGGAGGCAGGAACTCGATCCCACTCTTCTGCGTTACTGCCTCCCGAGCACCGTGCTTTGGAAAGAGGTGTTCAATCAATATTTACTAAACTGAGTGTCTGTGTGCACGGCCTTTTCTAAGTGAGCCCCAGACCCATGGGGGTTGGTTAATCATCTGGGGGTCCCACTGGCTTCCATTCTGAGAGCTTCTGTGAGGCAGGGACCTTATCTCTGCTTCCTAGGGGCCCTGAGCTGCCGGGCTGGGTGGGGTGTTTGAAACCGTCACAAAAGCAAAGGCTAAGCCTTCTCCCCCTCCAGATGTGAACGAGTGCCTGAAGAACAATGGCGGCTGCCAGCACATCTGTGTCAACCTCATAGGGAGCTACCAGTGCAGCTGCAAGGAGGGCTTTTTCCTGAGTGACAATCAGCACACGTGCATCCCCCGCTCAGAAGGTACCTTTGCTCTGCTGGGAGTGGGGGTGGGGGTGGGGGGGGGGAAGGGTCACGTCGGAGAGTCCCCCCGCCCTCAGCGGCTTTAGAAGGGAAGCGTGGGCCATAGACAGTCTGGAGGCCTGAGGACGAGTCCAGACTCTGCTGCTGGGTAACTGCGGGCAAGTTACTGTAGCTTCACCTTCTTCACCTGGCAAAACAAGTGGCTGAGCTCTGAGGTCTCTTCAAACTCTCACGTTCTCTGATTCTAATCTTTAAACAGAGTACATTTCAAACATGACTAGATGTCTTGGGAGAAATGGACAATCTGCCAAGTTTTTCAAAAACGTGCTGCAAACCACAGCACCAAGTGTGAGCCTGCTCCCTGCCCAGGTGGGTGGGGAAGGGCTGGAGCCTTCCTGGGGAGCCTTCCAGCTTTGCCCTGTGTGCAGCCCCAGGCTAGCCCTGGCCTTCCCTGGGCTTTGCATCTCTGAACTCTGAGCCTTGAGGCTCCAGGGGGCAGGGGACCCTCTCCCAAAACTCCAGCTCTCTATGCTGTGGTTTTCTTCACTTGTCACCACTTACCATTCCTCCATGAATTTGTAGAAAACTCTTGTCTTTTGATGGCCTTCTTTTTGTTCTTTGTGCTTTTGAGTTGATACCTTTTTTTATTCCTCTATTAGTTCAGGGGACTCTCAGGAGGGAGAGGCATTGAGTACATGTGGCCAATCCACCTCTTCTAACCAAATGATGTGCTTTTACTTGTCTGCTCTTTTTCCTGCCAAATAATCACATTTGGTGGCTGCATTTCTTCTCCCAGGGTTGCCTGTGCTGTTTTTAAAAGACGTAATCTAAATATGAGACTATTAACTCCTTTTTCGTGATTCAACAGTGAAGCCATTGTGAGTTCTTCTATCACTTAATCACAGATTTGCAGGTTTATTATTTTCATCATGGTTTCAGTGACTTTCCCAGAGTTTCTTTGTGGAAGATGACTTTTGTCTCATTTTCTAAGAACGATGGCTCCTTCTTTATACCTAACTAGAAAACCTGGTCGGAGAAAACAGGGGGCAGCGGGTTTGATGGTCTCGCCCCCGGTCGGCTCGCCAGCAGTGTTGGAGCAGGGTATTCACACGCTCCACCTCCAGTCACGCAGACCTCTGTCTCATGCAGGCTTGATAGGGTAGCAACTGGCCTTCATCTTCCTGCTGGTCTCCCTGGACCCTTCGGTGAGCTCTGCATCTGGTCCGAGGTGGAACGAAGCCAGCAGTTCAAGTGATCTGGACCTCAGGGCATCTCTGTGGTCGCTCCGAGCTGCTTCCTGAGAAGTCACTGGCTTTCTCTTCAGGTGTTGGGTGGGAGGCAGGGACCCGTCGGTCAAGCCGTGGCTTAAACACCCCCGGTGTGGATCCCACCCACCCACAAAGCCCCTCATCCCGCACCTTTGCCCTTCCAGAGTGGTGACCCCTCATCCCCCTCAGGCAAGCACCCCAGACTGATTTTAGACACAGGATCCTCATAACGGAAGTAAATGCAAAGCAGTTCCTTTCCACAATCTTTGTTTTCTAAAATTTCTACAATTCAGACATTCTTGGAACCCCTGAAGAGTATTTAAAATGAACATATTTGTCTGGAGCGAAAACCAAAATCCAAGAATCTGAGTTGTGGTCTGGAGTGCTCTCTGACTTTGTGTTGTGTTTAACCCCATGGCCGGGCCAACCATGGCACACTCCGAGCAGCTCTGTAACCGAGACCCCTCCACCTGGGCTCCAGCTCTCCCAGCAGCATGCCTTAGGACTTCCTCCTCGACACGCACATCAAATCCTTAGAAAGGTGTTAAAATCAACTTTCAGACCCACACTTGATACTCGAAAAATGGTTGAAAGAAGGTAACACTGCAAGCTAGTGTCTTCTAGTGTTGCTATTGTTTTTTAATAATTATTTGCGGAATGCTCTTCCATCTCGGGGATCCTAGGAACTGATTCTGAGAGAAACCTCAAGCTATTGATTTTTTTTTTCTTTAATTCTCACCCGAGGACATATTTTTGCATTTATCTTCAGATAGAGCAGGAGGGAGAGAGGGGGTTGAGTGAGAGAGAAACATCGATGCAAGAGAGACACACCGATTGGTTGCCACCCACATGACCCCAACAGGGGTCAGGGACCAACTGCAACCAAGGTATGTGCCCTTAGTGGGAACCGAACCCGGGACTCTCTGGTCCCCGGGCCAGCGCTCTAACCGCTGAGCCAAACCAGCGAGGGCTCAAACTATTGATTTTTTTTTTAAAATTCATAGAGACCCCACAGCTCTGACAGAGAGGCTGTGTGTGTTCACCCATGTAATGGGGGTAGGCTGCCTCTCCCTGTTCATGGGTGCTCGGGCTCTCAAAGAGAGTGTTCCTCTTTTGTTTTGTCTGCTGTGAGGATATTTTTAGATGTTTGTGATGCTGCCCTTTCAGAGTATAGTGGGGAAGATGTCAGGGTCGAGGGGAAGGGACTTGGTGGAATGTTCCTGGCCCCGCTTGCAAGGCATGTTAATATTTGGCACCCAGGAGTATTCTCCGTTGAGACCCTGATCCGGGGACCACCAGAATGGAGCATTTATAGTGTCTCTGAGCGGTTTCCTTCCTGGTGAACGAACAAGTGTAAACACGGCTGCCAGGACCATGGATGGCCGGGCCTCCCGGTGTGGACCAGGTCCATGGGCCTCCCCTAGCAGCGGCCTTGTTTGGAATCAGGGCACCCTGCAAAGCTTCAGGTCGCCTCTTGAAAAGCCCTCGGCATCTCCAGAGCCATTTCAACTTCCATTATCTCCTGGTAAGTTAGGCCTGGCTTAACACTGAGGACCACTTTTTTTGTGTATCTCCATGGCATTTGGCACACAGTTCTCACGAAATATTTTTGTGTGTAAATGATTGGCTCTGAGGCAGGAAAGGTCACTTTGCAAACGTTCTAACAGATTTGTTATCAGAGAGAAGAGGAGAAGCAGCAGCAGCAGCAGCAGCAGCAGCAACTGACCTGTGTGGGGCAGCCTTTTCTCCGGCACTGTTACATTTACCCCGAGGTCCCCCTGGCACCGGGTATTTCACATGCTCTGCTGACTCAAGGACAAATGTCATGCTTGCTGTGCCTTCCACGGAGGACAGGACACTGCTTCTGGAGGCAGCTTACCTCCTGTGCTGTCTTGACACCAAGAAAAAAATAACAGCTTCAGAAATCACCAGCCAGAGCAAAGAGAGCTTTCCGCTGACCCAGGACAAGCCTCCTCCTGTGTTGATTGACAGCAGCCCCTGGCATGGGTGAATGAGTCCCAGCAGCTTCCAGCAGACTGAGTGCTGGGGTTCTAACAGCTTTGTCACTGTCAGATAAAAACCAAGATGGTTTTGGGAGAGGGTGTGCTGTCTTTTGGAGTAGGAATGACATCTGTTTGTATCGAACATTTATTCCAGTTAAGCCTAGGTCAATGGCTCTGCGGTAGAATTGGAGAGAGGTGACTCGATTTCATTAGAACCAAGTGGCTAAGGTTTTAGGGGCACAATAGAGAACAGTGGGGGATCCTAGAGAAGTCGAATGAAAACGTATGTTTGAAAGAGTGTGACCTCCAGTATTAGAAAGTGTCTTGTTGGTAGAGAGACAATGAGAACAAAGCCCCTACTTGCAAAGATGCTCTGGGGTTGCACCCATTCAAAGAAGCATCTCACGAGTGCGTACTTCACACGCGCTTCAAACTGAGCCGACGTTTGGAGAATACTCTTGGGCATGGCGATCATTCCTCCCGAGTGCTGGCAGGTGTCCAGGTCTCTGTGGGTTTTGAGATGAGGCACGATGCTGGCAACCACAGGGTGGACACTTTGCTGTGGCCCTGTCATTTCCATGCATGTTACACCATCTGAGAGAATAACTACCTGTCCGTTTCCCTTCCCGCCACCATTACCACAAGATTGGGCCTAACAAAGCTTACAGTATACCTGAAGGAATCACACAGCAGCCCAAGCAAACCGCATGCAGGAGGTCTCCCTCTGTTCTCCTTGTGGCCACGCTGTTGTGTGACACCGTCGGAGGCTTGTGCCCAAGCTGCTGAGGGAGAGGCCCAAGGATTCACTAGGGTGGTTACAAAGGAGAAGTCCCAGGCAGTGTCCATGTGGTGGTGCCAAAATACAGTAGTCACAGTCACCTCCCAAGTGGGGTTGGTGCGGGTAGAAAGCGGGGTGGGAATGTTCTGCAAATCCTCTTTAAGAGTGTGTGAAAACACGGGGCCTCCTCAGTCTATCTGCTGGGTTTCTTCAGGACGCTCTCCTCTTTGCATTCTGGGTCAGCATCAGGGACCCGTTCCTGGGGTCAGCAGGCTCTGATTCCACTCTCAGCAGAGGGCTCCTGCTGGGAGCTTTCTTTTCAGTTTACCTCCTTTGGAGAATAGAGACATCTTATCTCTTGAGTGACATAAGACATTTTTTATGTCTATGTTAACTGACCTGCCTTGATTTTAGTGACATTTTCTTTTAAAACTTGGAGACTCGCCCTGGCCAGTTTGGCTCAGCAGTTAGAGCATCGGTCAGTGGACCAGAGAGTCCCGGGTTCGGTTCCCGCTAAGGGCAAGTACCTTGGTTACAGTTTGTCCCTGGCCCCCGTTGGGATCGTGTGGGTGGTAGCCCTACTTGATGTGTCTCTCTTACATCAATGTTTCTCTCTCTCTCTCCTGCTCTATCTGAAGATGAATGCAAAAAAAAAAAAAAATGTTTTCAGGTGAGGATAAAAAAATAAATAAAATAAAATATGGAGACTCAGGCAGGCAAGTCTGTGGCTCACCACTGGTCACACGTTGCTCTGTTTTGCAGAGAGTCTGAGCTGCATGAATAAGAATCATAGCTGTAGTCACATCTGCAAGGAGGCTCCGAAGGGCAGAATAGTCTGCGAGTGCAGGCCTGGTTTTCAGCTGTCCTTGAACCTGAGGGACTGCATCAGTAAGTATAGACTGGCGCACACCGTGCTGGGAACCATCCTGCCCCAGAGCTTGTCGTCGACAGCCCAGCATCAGAAATGCCACCTCATGGCACAGCAGTGGCAGCAAGGAGGGCAGCTGGCCTGAGACACTGACCTCCACCGAGTACTCAGTTCACTGCGCAAGGGTAGCCCCCTGGGGGGAGGGAAACGGTGTTTTTTTAGAGGAACCAGTCAGAAGGAAATGAGATTCGGGAATAAGGAGTGTGAGTGCTGGGGGCTAGGTAATAACATCAGATGTCCTCATCTGGCGATCACAGCTCTGCGCTACCTGGTCCCCTTTCAGAGAACAGCCCATATTCTTTCATGCCACAGCCTTTTCCAAGTGCTCCTCCCTTCTTGGCTTGGTGAATTCTCACTCAACTTGTCCTACCCTCCTAACTTCTAACAATGATAAGTGTGGTGGCTACCTTTGGGGGAGCATTTATTATATGCAAAGACAGGTACCACGTCCCATTTAATTCTCACAGTCACCACACTAGGAACTAAGTATTATTCTCATTTTTAGTTGAGAAAATGGTGGGGAAGGTAAAGCAACAAGGTCACACAGAGAATGAGTGGAAAAGTTAGGATTCGAGTGTGGGTCCGCCTAACTCTAGGGCTTGTGCTCTTAGTCCCCGTGACCTCCTGCCTCTGGATCCTCCCCAAGGCCTCAGACAGGGCAGCCATTTCATATTTTGGCTCCCACAGCAGAGGGTTAGTCAGAGGGTCTGACACTCTGGGTTAAAGTGTGTATTTATGTGTGTCTGCCCAACTATGAGTTCCTCCAAGTCAGGGACCTTGTCTTATGTTGCCCCTCAGTCTTCTCCTGGTGCCTACCACAGGCTGTGCTCAATCCACGGTTTTCAAATTAATGGATCGATCATGGTGTGCACAGCTCAGACACAGCCTCCATACAATGATGAAATACAATCATGAAACTCTGAGGATAATAGGAAACAATGGGCCATTCAAGGTGTTCCTAAACCATTGTTTATGCCAGAGGAAACACTGAGGATTCCCCTTTAGGAATTCTGCTCAAAGCCTCGGACCTTCTACAAGCTCATGCAGTCTGCTAGGGAGGGTGATTTACAGTGAGTAGATCTTAGTGGTTAAGAGATAAGACCGTTTTTGGTGTTTGTTTTTTTTAAGTCACTGCATTCCTTTTTATTTTTGTATTTTTTAAATTGAGGTGTAATTGACATAAAGCATTAGTTTCAGGTGCACAATATCATGATATGAGATAGGACAGTTTTGCCAGTAAGAGACTATCACAAAACAGAGTGTGGCCCCGAAGCCTGCCAAAGCAGGGCTGGTGCCACCATCACCAGGTTCTGACAGGCTCTGGGGGCCCCTAAAAGTGAGGCTGTCCTTGGGGGATTCCAGGGGCCGGGCAGAGTGAAGACCACCTGTTCTGGCTCCAGGTCTTTTCAAACAGAGGACCCAGGTCCTGCAAGAGCTGCACAGCGAGACGCTCAACATTTCAGGTTTTCAGGGGCCAGGAGAACACCTGAAAGCTTATTTTTAAAAATTTTAAATGTTTTCCAAATGTCACTGCCCAAATAATATTATCATTATACTTGAGGAAAGAAAAAGAGATCCAGAATTTTGCCACATGACCAGCTGTTTGCACATTTCTGTGTAATTGTTCACATGCACAGCACAATGTGTGCCTGACTGTAATCGCAGAACAGCTTCTTTCTCCCATCGCAAATATGCCTTTAGTTCTTTTAAGTCGGAATAATTACAGATGTCTGTGTAAGAATTCAAACAGTCAAAAGTACATAAAGAAAACCTAACTTTCCCTTCCCATTTCCTTTACCAGAGCTTTGATAAACAGGTAGTTTTCTAATCGGCTTCTTCTTCCCTTTTGTTTTTTTAGCTTGTCATCAGTGCATTCATACATAGTCTCTGTAGTTACCGTTAATATTGCATTCAGTGTGTGCAAAAAATCCCCATTTCCTCTGATGACCCACTCTTCCTAACTAATCCAGATGGAATCGGATTTGAATGCATACATACAAGTTAAATAGTGTCCACCCTGACAGGACGCGCAATTGCATTTCCCAGAGCCCAGTGCGGCTGTGTGCATGTGCAAACTCCTGGTAGAGCAAAACAGTAGTTTAGAAGCTTTTGGTATAAGTTCCTTTAAATAGGGAAAATCTACCCCACCCACCTTCCCATCTCCACCTTCTACATACTTTTGCTCAAATCTGTCATTTAGCATTTCTGTATTTCATATTGTGACTATCTGTTTACCTGGACAGAGAAAGGGTCTGGTCAGGGCTCTCATTTGTACACAGTGCCTAGCATGTCACAGGTGCTCAAATACTTGCCGAAAGAGATTCAGCATTCTACTGGAGCAAACACAGTCCTGGTTGTGGAACTATCACTGCTTTATGTATTAATTCATTTTCCCCTCAGTGACTTGTAACCATGGAAACGGTGGGTGCCAGCACTCCTGTGAGGACACAGCAGAAGGTCCTAAGTGTAGCTGCCATCCACTTTACAAGATGGACGTAGATGAGAGGAGCTGCCTTGGTGAGTGGTGATCCCCATGCTGGGTGAGCGTCTACCCCAGACTGCCCAACCCTAACCATAACTCCAACCCCAACCCCAACCCTAACCCCAATGCCTACTCCAACCCCAACCCTAACCCCAACCCTAACTCCAACCCTAACCCTAACCCCAACCCCAACTCTAACCCTTACCCTAACCCCAACTTCAACACCAACTCCAACCCTAACCCCAACCCCAATCCTAACCCCAACCCCAACTCCAACCCTAACCCTAACCCCAACCCCAACCCCAATTCCAACCCTAACCCTAACCCCAACCCTAGTCCTGACCCCAAGCCCACCCCAACTCCAACCCCAACCCCAACTCTAACCCAACCCCTACCCCAACCCCAGTCCTAAACCCAACCCCAACCCCAACCCTAACCCAACTCTAACCCAACCCCAACCCCAACTCTAACCCCAACCCCAACTTTAATCCCAACCCCAACCCTAACCCTAACCCTAACCCACTGTTAATGGTGTTTAGCACCAGATGCAGGTGTTTTCAGTGCATTTGGCCCCAAATGGATCCTGTGCTGCTTCACATGTGGTAGTGGGAGTAGTCTAGGGAATAGGGTCCCTCTCTCCATGTGCGACCTTGGAAGCCTTTCACCTCTCCTGGACGAGGCCTCTCCCAAAGACTGGAGGCTGGACAGCACATCCCAAGGGGCCAGGGCCGCATGAAGTTAAAGCTAGCTGTTTGTGATGACACAGTGGCCTCGATGGTCAGCAGGAGCCTGGGTTGCATGTTTCTGGTGAAAGGGATGCCTGCCCTTTCTTCCGTGGCATGTCCTTGCTGGACTAAGGGCACTGGAGTGAATCTGAAGCTGGCATTCCCTAGCGTCTCTTCGGTCAGTGCAACGTGCTTCAGAAATCTTTTCCACATGAAAGCTCACTAAGGCTCTGCGTGGTTTAGCATGCTGTGTTCCCACAGAGCCTGGTCCCAGCACATTCTTACTGAGTGATCAGTCACATAGCTCACATTGTTCTCGTGCCTGGGATTTCGGCGAAGTGGCTTGCAGGGGATGAATAATCTGACTCACTCGCTCTGAGAACTGTACTCTTGCGTTTCTTGCAGAGCCAGAGGGAACTGCCTCGGAGATGACGAAGAGCAATGCCACCTCAGAGGTGGACGGGGATAAACGGGTGAAACGGCAGCTGCTCATGGGTAGGCACCTCACCACTCTCTATGCCACTGTCCTTGTCCACCTTCCCTCCCAACTTACCACATCAGGCCTGAACCTGGGACCCATGTGTCCTCAGAGCTGCTGGACCAGGGTCAGCAGCTCCGGCCAAGCCAGGGGTATCTGATTTTCACCCACTGCTGTTGTTTAGCCACCATCCGAGACCCTGGCACTGTGGGAAGAGCACAGGCCCAGCTGTCAGGATAACCAAGTTAACGTCCTAGTACTGCCCCGACTACCTTTGTAACACCTGAATAAATTGCCCTGAGACTCGTTTCCTAGTCTTTCTTTCTTTATTTAAAAAAAATATTTTTATTGATTTTTTTAGGTAGAGAGGAAGGGAGAGGGAGAGAGAGATAGAAACATCGATGAGAGAGAAACGTCAATCAGCCACTCCTGCACACCCCATACTGGGGATCAAGCCTGCAACCTGGGCATGTGCCCTGACCAGGAATCAAACTCATGACCTCTTGGTGCATGGGACAGCGCTCAGTCCACTGAGCCACACGGACCCTTTCTTAGTCTTTCTGTAAAATAAATATAATAAGACCTACCTCTTAGGGTTGTTAGGAAGCTCAGTTAAGATAATAATGTGCACAAGTGCCCAGAGTCCAATGCCTGGGACTTAGAGCGTGGTCAGTAACGCTCAGTTACTCGGAATGTCAGTTCCCATCCTCTGAGTAACTGACCAGAGAGATACTTCGAGCAGCCCCTTGCTTGGCATGGTGATGTGTCTGTCACTTTTGTCCATTGAGTCTCCTCTTTCTGACTTCAGCCCATGTTATTAATGTCAGGAGAGAGGAATGGAGCAGAGTGGCACTTGGCCGTGGGACATGGGAGGGTCTGCAGCCGGTCCAGCAGGCCGCTGGAGATGACAGCAAACGCGGAGGCGGCGGCTGTGGGTGTGGGAGTCAGACAGGTCCTCCGACACTTCTGTTGTGGAGGAAGCTTGGCTTGACTTAAACAAAACCTATCTTTTGATAGCTTCTGGATTTAGCAGTCAGGTAAGATACTGAGCAGCCATTGTTCACCAGGCAGGTGACGTTTCTGGGCTCTTTCCTGCCCTATTAAAATTAATTGTTTTTGTGGGTTTTTTTTTTTATCCTCACCCGAGAACATTTTTCCATTTTTTGTTCAAATAGAGTGAAAGGGAAAGAGAGGAAGAGACAGAGAGAGAGAGAGAGAGAGAGAGAGAGAGAGAGAGACATCAACGCAAAAGGGACACATCGAGTGGCTGCCACCCACACGACCCAACCAGGGCCGGGGACAAACTGCAACTGAGCTACGTGCCCTTAGTGGGAACCGAACCCGGGTCTCTCAGGACCACTGGCCGACGCTCTAACCTCTGAGCCAAAATGGCCAGAGCTAAAATTATTGTTTTTTATTACCTTAAATCAAAATAGTACATATGAATAATATAAAAACTTACTTGGTACTATGAAGCTTTTAATGAAATACATCATGCCCTTGTCTCCTACCTTGCCATCCCCTCATCCCATTTGCCAGAGGCAACAATTTTCAATTCTCCTCTTGTTTTTCCCAGCTCCCCTTCCCCATATTTCTGAAAAGTGAAGCCTGTACAGTTTTCTTTTTTTCTAGTTTTATTGAGATATTCTACAGTTATTTCTCGATGTGTCAGTTTTAGACATTGGCTTTTGACTTCCCTCCCCTAACTTTCCCTTTCTTCCTTTCTCCCTCCCTCCCCATACCTTAGTATGGTTTTATCACAGTTTAAACCAATATTATGTGTTTACATGATGTGACTATGAATATCTAAATACGAGAGTCACGTGATATGCTATGACTGTATTTTCTTTGTTTAGTTTTTCAAGTACCTCTGATCAGTTCTTTTTCAAATTTCTGGTGGAACTCTAAAACCCTTTTCAGTGTGTTTAAATAAATACAGCAGTTAACTCATCGATTCCGTTCTCTTCTTACCAAGTCTCCTCTGAGGCTCGCACCGGCTCTGGCGGCCCGGCTCTCCGCCGCTGCCTCAGCTTCGTGGGACCCCGGCGCCAGCCTGGAAACCCCTGCACTGCTCTCCATTGTGGGTGGATCCCATGTTTCTCTTTTGTTAGTTTACACTGGTAAATACAGGTTTTAACAAAACTTTGCACACTTGAAAATGCCTTTATATTCCACTTCATCCGTTATTGAGAATTTGGCTCAGTATAGAATGCAGAGTTGGAAAGAATATTCCATCAGAGTTTTGAATCGCACTCTATTGTTCTCAAGCATTCAGTGTTGTTTCAAGAAGTCTAAAGTAATTTTTATTAAAATAAAAAATTTTTTTCTTTGTTGATTTTAGAGAGAGAGGGGAAGGAGAGGGAGAGAGAGATAGAAATATCGATGAGAGAGAACATCAATTGGCCGCGTCCTGCATGCCCCCCACTAGGGATTGGACCCACAACCTGGGCATGTGGCCTGACTGGGAATCGAACCGGTGACCTATTGGTGCATGGGTTGACACTCAACCACTGAGCCGCACCGGCCGGGCATCATTTTTATTCTTGATCTTTTATAGGGAACCTATGAAAGCTTCCCTCCAGATGCTGTTAGGGTCTTCTCCTTGTCAGGGGGACCTGAAATTCCACCATCATGTCCCTTACCATGGGACTTTCCCCTCCTATTACGCTGAACACTCAGTTGGCCTTTTCAGAATGGACATTTGAGTCCCCTGGGTCTGAGAGGTTTTCTCATATTTCTTCTTTGATAATTTTCATCACTCCATTTTCTCTGTTCTTTCCCTCGGGAGCTCCTATTAGCTGGCTGTTATAACTCCTGTACCGATCCTCTAATTTTCTTCTCTTTTCTCTTCTTTATATTTTTATTTTACTTTCTAGGATATTTTTCTCCCCACACCCCCAATTCTTCTACAAGATTCTTTTAAAATTTCTGCTTTCTTTTTTTTTTAATCCTTACCCGAGGACATTTTTGCATTTATCTTCAGATAGAGCAGGAGGGAGAGAGAGAGGAAGAGAGAATGAGAAACATCGATGTAAGAGAGACACATCGACTAGTTGCCACCCACACAACTCCAACAGGGGCCAGGGATGAACTGCAACCGAGGTATGTGTCCTTAGTGGGAACCAAACCCAAGACTCTCTGGTCCACAGGCTGACACTCTAACTGTTGAGCCAAACCAGCCAGGGCTAAAATTTACTTTGATCTTTTATTATTATTATTATTATTTTGTATTTATTGATTTTAGAGAGAGCGAGAGATAGAAACATAGATGAGAGAGAACATTGATTGGCCGCCCCCTGCATGACTCCAACTGGGGATCGGGCCCACAACCTGGGCATGTGCCCTGACCGGGAATCAAACCAGCGACCTCTTAGTGCATGAGTCGACGCTCAACCAATGAGCCACACCGGCCGGGCTTACTTTGATCTTATGTTGTAAGAACCTGTTCTTATCTCATGGATACTTTTCTTATGTCTCTGAGAAAATGAACTATAAGGTTTTTTTAGAACTTCTCTTTTGTTTCCTGTATTATCTTTGTTTCCTCCATTCCCTATTCAATTGACTTGGTATATTTATTTCATGTTAGAGTGTTTACGGAAATGTCTGGTGATTCTTGGTGGACTTTCATATTTAATAGTGAAATACTAAAAAGCCAGTTGGCTATTCTATTAGCTGGTGGGTTTTTTGCTTGGTGACTGAACCACTTCATTCAGAGCTCCTCAAATGCCAGTATAGGTAGGCCTTTTCATTTGGGCAGATCAGTTCATCTGGAGAGGAATCATTCTATCTCCTGCTGAGGGGACATAGGCTGGTCTGCCAGTGGAAGCTGAGAGGGGGATGAGGATTTGCCATCTCTCTTTTCAGGGTATAGACTCACTGACAGTACTTCCCCTGCCCCCTCTGCTATTCCTGGTGCTCTGAGTCCAGTTCTTCTCTGGTCCCACTTCTCCAGAATACATTTCTCTCTTGCAGCCCAATAAGGAGGGGGTGGTCATCGGACTGTGGAATTTAGGAGAGAATCTGGGGGCTTGTCTGCTTGTTATACAGACTCTTAGTCAGTCTTCTTCTTATTTTTTTTAATCCTCACCTGAGGATATTTTTCCATTTATCTTTCAGATAGAGTAGGAGGGAGGGAGGGAGAGAGAAACATCGGCGTGAGAGAGACATATCGACTGGTTGCCTCCCGCATGACCCCAACCAGGGCCTGGGATGAACTGCAACCGAGGTAGGTGCCCATGGCTGGAATCAAACCCAGGTCTCATTGGTCCGTGGGCCAACGCTCTAACCACTTAGCAAACTGGCCAGAGTTCAGTCTTCCAATTTTTAACTCCATCCTCTCTGCTTCCTCTAGAGTAACTTGGTACTTCCAATTCCTGGGCCTTTCTGGGCTTCAGTGGTTCACGTGGGCTTGCCACTCGTGGGCGCCGCCTCTGCAGCCCACTAGGGGTGAGCTTTTGCCATGCCATGGCTGTCCTTCACTGACATGCCACTTCCCGGATATCTGACTCCTTTCCCTAGTGTCTTCTCTTTTTGTTGTCCTTGAGGATTTGTACTTTAAAAAACCATTTTAGCGAGGTTTGGAGAGGAAGCAGATGAACACATATGTCCCATCAGTCATATTCACTTAGAACTCCGCCGTGTCCCCGGGCTCTCCAGTGCGGTAGCTGTGGAACTAAGTCAGGTTTCCGCATGCCTGCAGGCTGACAATTGAATGAATGCTGGAGAGCATTTGTCTGTTACCCGCAATAATCATAGAAATGCAGAAATAACTACAAGGCTATTTTACTTATTGTTCCTCATCTATGTAGATGCGATCGAACAACTGTGGCCGGTGTTTCATGTGGTTCTGACAGCTCTTTCTCCTCCCAGGGAAAGGTCAACTTCTAATCTAAATCCACTGGCAGTTGCAAGGAAGAAGCCATTGGTCTGCGACCAGGGAATGGTTGGGGTGGGCGAGGCTTACTTTCTCTGGCTTTGCCCATTATTCATGTTAAAGGGAGAGAGTTCAAGATTAAGGAAGGAGCACCTCCCCCACCCCCCGTTTTCTCTGTTCTGTATTCACATCTCGCTTGCCAGGCATGTCATACTTAGCAGGTCACTGGCTGGGGATCAAGGGAAGTTTTAGTGGCTTCCAATCAGCTCAGCAGGTTGAGAGAGGCTTCTTTACCTCTCTGGTCACCCTGTCAGCTTCCCTGGGAGATGCCACTTATTTATATGGGTGGGAGGAGCTGTACCCGCTCCCCCTCTGTCTCATCTGCTGGTAGCAGAGACTTGAGGGTACAACTGCGAAGGTCCTACCGTGCTTCTTGGCTTTTATGATCTTTGTTAAGTATTAATACTACACTAATATCCCTCTCCTCTCAGCTGTATTAGCACTTCTTTAGGAAGCTAACTGCCTTTTCTTACCTCCTTGTCAGAAACGTGTGCTGTCGACAATGGAGGCTGTGATCGCACCTGTAAGGATACCTCGACAGGTGTTCATTGCAGTTGTCCCATAGGATTCACTCTCCAGTTGGATGGGAAGACCTGTAAAGGTAGCCGGAGCCTCTCCATGCTGCTGTTGTGTGGGGATAGGGACAGCTCTTCCCCCAACACCTCCAGAGTGACTCCAGATTTGCTTATGATTCATACTGATGGAAGCTTTTCCCTGGGCTAGTGGAAAGTTATAATTGAGTGAACTTAATTAGAACCAGCGTAATTACACTAACTGTTGAGAAGGTCAGCTTCCACAAGTATCAAATAATTCATATCAGGCAATGGACTTATTAGAAAAAGGCAGAAGTTCAAGAACATTTGTAGGAGATAATATCAACCTATCATAAATAACAGCCAGGAGATTATGTAAATAACAGCCAAGATTGTTATCCAGAGAACTTAATGAATAACTGTACCTTGAACTTTTACTGATGAATAGAGACCCCAATGACCTGCTAGTATTTCATGGGCAAGACTACAAAGGCTTAGTTCTTCAACATGATAAAAAGTAGGTAAGCAGTTACTAGATGAAACTGAGAACAGATAAGATTAATTTGAGTATCAGGAATCATTTAAAAGCATTAAGGCTATTTGATCATTGTGTAATTTGCCAAAACAAATGTTCTATTTCCTTATAACTTTAATGATTAAACTGGAATGGAAAGCATACCAAAGGGAACCACCTTATCTTGAGAGAGCAGGGCCAGGATGAGAATATAACAGGACATCATCGTTCTTTCCCATAGATTGTTTCTTAATTCTGGTCAAGGGTATTGTGAGTCAGGGTTCTCAAGGGGACTAGGCTTTTGTCTTTCAAAATTGGTTAAGCCAGGCAAGAAAACAAGTCTAAGACAAAAAGCATCAACGAACATTCATAAATGCTTCTATGGGTCTGTTTCTGTTTCAGAAAATAATGAAGCTCACACAATAGTACTTCGGGGATTTGTGGAAAATGAGGCAAGTATCGCTGTCTGATTTGCCTATGCTTGCGTGTTACAGATATTGATGAGTGCCAGACTCGCAACGGAGGTTGTGATCATTTCTGCAAAAACACCGTGGGCAGCTTTGACTGCAGCTGCAAAAAGGGATTTAAATTATTAACAGATGAGAAGTCTTGCCAAGGTATGTGCTGAAACATAGCTGTGCTGTGCAGTGTCCGCTGGTTGGAGCAGAGAAGACGAGACTGGCAGAGACTGGCTTGCTGGGTTTCTCAGTTGTCAGTAATCCCACCTCCAACCTGTGCCTCGCTGATTTCACCTGTTAGGTAGAAGAAAGTCACTGATGTAGCTCCCAGGTACAGTTAGGAAACTAAGCTGTAAATGATCAGAGAACACCTCAGAGAACCCATCTGGTGTGATAAGAGCAGAGCTCTCTGCTAGAAACGTGTTGGATCGCAGAATGCAGACAGGGCTGTATTAGGTTGAGATTATGAACACTTTTATTTTTCTAAATTTCCTTTAATGTTATGGATTGTATAACAAAATTTGGTGGCAAAATGTGTAGATTTAGTTAACGTACCTTTTCCCAGCTAAAAGCTGGGGTCTACCCATAATCAAGCTCATGTATCAGTTGGTCTCTTCCTTGTAGCCCTTGTTTGAAGGTCCGGCCTTTGGTGCTTGGGGAGAGGGAGGGAGGGGGTTGAGCGGGGGAGAGGCTGGTCGGGCCTTGGGCAGCTGGCAGACTCTTCTCGGATGCTTCCCTCCCACATAAGGGGTGCAACAGGGAGCTTCTCTGGTGGCAGTTGTTATATTAATCATTGTTTGAGGTGAAAAGCTCTTTTGGGTAGGGGGTACCATTTATATTTTCAGGAAGGAGCGCTCAAAAAGATCTGCTATTATTTATTTCTGCTCCATTTTTGGAAATAAGAATGGTCTAACAATTTTGTTAGAAATCCCAGAATTAAATCAAAATCAGAAAATAATACCTGACTTTACTTCAGATACTAAAGATGTAAGATTACCTTTTTTTAACCTTACAGTGTGAATTAAGTTTCTTTCTTGGATGTTTCTTCTTAGTACATATTTTGTCAGACAATTCAAACATAGTCCCCTCTAAATTCAGTGGGTTCATTCCAGATGATTGCTGCGTGGTTTTTATTTATTTAGCTTGGAAAGCAAATTTGCTGTTCTACATATTGTTTTATAATGTATAGAGCAAGAAATACTGTTTAAGCTGTGTAAACACATTAAAAAGGAATTAGAAAAGTGATCTCATTATTTTTGGCAAAGCACAAGCCTGTCATGAACAGCCAAAATCAGCTACTGGAAGAGTCTGCTTTCTCGACAACTGGCTGATGTTAATAACAGAACTCAGAGTGACATTAATTACATGAGGAGAAAGAGACTTTTTCTCATTTTTCACTGATCGGTCTTGGTGGAACAAATATTTGCACAGAACAAATTTACTGAAGAAATTGCCAGGATTTCTGGGAAAAGCTAGGGAAGAAGAGGTGTTGCATGGATCTGCCCTTTTTATTTCATTTTTTAATTCTTCTAGTCCCTTCCAAATGTTGTTTTTTTATTAATGTAGTTTCTCATGGCACGTTTTGTGTTGAAACGAGGTCTAGCAGTGGTCTAGTTGGCTCCGCTGTGTTCTGCACTGGCCCGGGTTTATCCACCTGGAGAAACAGGTCATAACTCTGTCAGGCCCGCCAAAGAGCTGAGGAAGTGAAGCGCTGAGATCCTAGTCTGCAGGGAAGATGTGAGGACCTGGCCAGGAAAGAAGAGGTGATTAGACCGACAAATGCAGTCTTGAGTCTAGTTTCAGGACCTCAGCTGAAGCCAGGGATGCCTCCTCACTGAGCCAGGATGGGAGGAGCAAAGCCAAGGGATTAGCCAAGAGGATCCAGCTGGGAGCTTAAACACCACTTTTCGGTGTCTGCAATAGGAAATTACTGAGGATGCGCTAATGCATCCTTTTAGTGCAGGGGACATTAAAACGCAGAGTCAACTGCCCTTCTGGGGCCAGAAGACTCATCTTGGACAGATCAGAAAGAGAGGGACCAGATTTATCTCCAGCCCAAGTGTTTTCTCCTTTCGATTTGCCCTAGCTTATAGAATTACTATTGCTGTTTTACCAAGAGTAATAGAACAGTACTAATGTATAGGCTGCACTCTTATCATTTATAAATCCTTTTTAGGTAGGTTGTTATCTCACTTGGCTTCATTTAAATATCTTGAATTAATCAGCCCTGCAAATAAGCCTGAGTGAGAGAGAACATCTGAGCTTTTAGGCAAGTGCACTTTGCAACAGGATTTGGAAAGAAGGGGCCTGGCAGTGAGTATACTTGTGGGCTGCTCAACACTCTCTTCAACACCAGTGAGTGGGAGAGCCGACAGGAAATGTTTTATTCTGTTTGCGTTGTTGTCCCCGGTAACGTGTTCTCTCCTCGCAGCCCTCAGAGTTGGTTTCAGGTCCCCTTTCCCTTTACTATTACAGATGTGGATGAATGCTCTTTGGACAGGACCTGTGAACACAGCTGCATCAACCACCCTGGCACATTCACATGTGCTTGCAACAAAGGCTACACCCTCTATGGCTTTACCCACTGCGGAGGTGAGCAGAATGCCCCTCTGGAGTCAGATGCAACTGGGCCCATAGAAGACTTAACCCTAAGATTTCCCCAAATCAGGGCCAATTTGCCTACACTGGGGGATGAACAGGACATTCCAGTCCCTATACAGCAGAATTGAATCCACCAACTGAAGGGAAGCATCTGCTAAGGGAAATCTCCCCCCATTTATCCCTTTAACACGTCAAGTGTGAAATGGAGCAGAGAGAAGAGCTAAGCTCTTCAGCTGTGAATTCTTTACTGACTTGATCGGTGCAGTTATATTCAGAGAATGGGAGGATCTCTCAGGAGCTGATCCCCTATCTGTTGGCACTTCCCAGCAGACAGTAAAGTTGCAGTCCTCAGAGAGGCTTGGCAGGGAACCAACAATTCCACAGCCTTGCTGTGTGTAGGAACGGACTGCAAAGCTTTGTCCAGGCCCTTTGAGCTGGTCTTGAAGAAGGTCTTTGAGCTGGAAGCTGGACCATTGACTTTATCTCTCTGCTCTGTGCCCATGTAGCAACATGTCCTAATGTCATCTGTCCTTATGGTCAAGAAGACTATGGCAAAAATCAGGTTTGGCACCAAATAACTCCCACTCTGCATCCCTGATCATCAGGTTCTTTCAGCAATCTGAGGACATAGATTCAGATTCTGACTCAGAATATCTGGGGCTTCCAAGGTGATTCTGAGGCTCTGAGAATTTGGGAACCACTGGCCTAAATACTTCCTGCTGGATCTTTGTGTCCTGTGCTTAAGAAGAATGGATATTGCCCTGGCCAGTTTGGCTCGGCCGTTAGAGCGTCAGTCCACGGACCAGAGTCCTGGGTTCGGTTCCTGCTAAGGGCACGTACCTTAGTTGCAGTTTGTCCCCGACCCCGGTTGGGGTTGTGTGGGTGGCAACCAGTCCATATGTCTCTCTCTCGCATTGATGTTTCTCTCTCTCTCTTTCCCCTCTCCCTCCTGCTCTATCTGAAGATAAATGCAAAATGTCCTCGGGTGAGGATAAAAAAAAAAAGAAGAATGGATATCAGTGATTTGCTGTAGTGTTCTCTCTCCCCTCCTTTTCAGTCGATTCTCAGCATGGCTAAAACATGCTCTTCTGACCCATCGAGAAATCCCATGGGCACATTCCTTGACTACGAATGTGTGTCTGGGTTCTAGTTAGAGTCCCCTTTGACCTGGAATCAGTCTCAGGTTGACGGAGATTAGTGCAGGTCACTTTCCTTCTCTACCCTTCGAGGACATGAACTGGCCGGTGTGGGGACTCCTAGTTGTCTGTCTCCCCTGGTATGTAGCTCAGCAGGATGGTGAGGTTTTAAGTTGGAAGCCTGTGCAGCATCTGAGTTTGGACACCTGAAAGTCGAGTGTGACCCTTTCTGAGTGTCCTTGATTAGGGAATGGTTTGGTCAAGAATGGAACATGAGCCCTGGCCAATTTGGCTCAGCGGTTGGAGCGTCTACCTGCGGTCCAGAGAGACCCAGGTTCGGTTCCCGCTAAGGGCATGTACCTCGGTTGCAGTTTGTCCCCAGCCCTGGTTGGTCGTGCGGGTGGCAGCCACTCGATGTGTCTCTTTCACATTTATGTTTCCCTCTCTCTTCCTCTCTCTCCCTCCCACTCTATCTGTACAAAAAAATGGAAAAATGTCCTTGGGTGAGGATAAAAAAAAAAAGAAAAAAAAAAAAAAAAAGAATGGAACATGAGACAGTCCTGGTGAGGCTCATGCCAGGAAATTCACGGAGTGGTGAGTGGGGTCAGCTGGTGCCAGGTACTCATCCTAAAGGCAGTTGGCCTCTGCCCTTTGTTAAGTGAGTTTCAACCACGTGACTCCCCTCTTGCCGCGTCCTCAAGGGAAGGACAGTGCCAGCGGGGCAGGGATGGGCTGCCGTGACAGGAGCGTGTTCTGTTCCCCAGACACTGACGAGTGCAGCATCGACAATGGAGGCTGTCAGCAGGTCTGTGTGAACACAGTGGGCAGCTACGAATGCCGGTGCCACTCTGCATACAAGCTCCACTGGAATAAGAAAGACTGTGTGGGTAAGGGGCACCGTGGCTCAGACTCCAGCAGCGGGCTCCCCACGGGCCCAGCTGCACTCTCCCACGTCTGATCGGCCCCAGCGGGGCGGACCGTCCCTCCCCTGAATTCTCCTCCCTTCAGCTGTAGCTGCCACTCTTTCAATGGTTCAAAAACAGGAGATACTTTGCAGGCTCTTTGTGTTGCCTTGTGTGTTTCTGCGTGGGATGGAACTCGCTTCTGTTTGCTCTTCTGCATGAGAAAAATAGCCCACAAGGAACTCCTTCAGCTTGGTGGGAAACAGTGCCCGGCGTCTTGTGTTCCATGCTGGGTGTCAGCTCTACCTTCTTTTCTCGGGGCCTTTGGTGCACGGGACCCAGCTGTCCCTGTCACACCTGGAAGTGCCCTTCTCTTTCTGTGAGTGTCTGTATTTTGTCCTGTCTAGAAGCGAAGGGGGTCCTGCCCACTGGTGTGTCACCCCACGTGTCCCTGCATTGCGGTAAGAGTGGTGGAGGAGACAGGTGCTTCCTCAGATGTCAGTCTGGCGCTTACCTCTCTTCAGGTGAGTGGTCCCACCCCTGGGGCAGGTCCTCGTGCCAGGGCCAGGCCTTCCTGGCCTTCAGGTGTCAGATGCCCCCAAAGGGCTTCCCCTGAGACCCCACATGCTGGCTGTTTTCTAGTGGTGTGTGTGGAGCGGGGTGGGGGATGATTTTAGCTGCCGCCAGGAGAGACGGTAACCTTGTTCCCATGTTGACGATCCACATTCTGTCTGTCAGGACTGCAAGAGGCCTACTCTGTCACCTGCGGCTCTTCCCCTCCTCTCGGGAACAAACAGCAAAAGTCAAATGACTCTGCTTTTGGGGGTAATTACCAAATCTGTGCGTCCTCTCTGGGGCTCACCGTGTTCAACGGGCTTCATTCTGGGGGTGCTGTCCTTGGGCATTGGCTCTGTTCTCTTTTCTCTTTATCTCCTCCATGCCATGAGCGTGTTACATACAGGCTGTTCTCACCGGCAGCCTTGGTGCCTGAAATCTGACTTACCATGTGGCAGACACTTGCTGTGTCCACTGTGTGTTGGATGGCTCTGTGATCAGCCCTGGTGGGTCATCATATTGGGCAGAGGCCTGCAGAGCTCTGGGACCAGGAGACTCGGGTCTCCCAAACTCCCTGGACCCCAGAGCACCTCAAAGGTCCAGAGGGAAAGTGTGCCTGGGGCACTTGGCGCTGGTGGAGATAGGCATAGGTATGGCAGGGGGAGCAAGAATTCTGTCCGGAGCAAGGACCCTGAACCCTTTCTGCTTTGTCAAAAGACAAAGAATGAAATTTCAGGCTTTTAGGAAGCCTTGTCCTCCCAGATTTAGACATCTCTGTAATATGTCATGAGAACAGCTGAATGAACAAATGGTTCTTGATGTCCATATTACATATATGAGCAAAGCTAGAAACCCAAAGCAGGCTACTAATAGCTTGCATCTATGGATCAAACGGTTAAAATATGCCAGCCACTGTCTTCCATGTGTTAGCTGATTTAATCTACATTGCAATCCTCTGGAACAATTTTACTTTTATCCTCACTAAAGAAACTGAGGTTCGAGGGTGGGAACGGGAAGAGGGTGTCAATGGGGGTAGGGGGGTAACATCTGTAACAAAAATAAATAAATAAAAATAAAAAAAAAGAAACTGGGGTTCAGAGAGGTGAAATAATGTACCCAAAGTGGCTCAGGTAAGAGGCAGTGGAGCCAGGACTCTAACAGGCAGTCTGAATCGAGTCTCAAGCCTTGTCCTATACACTTCCTCTTGCCTGACATGTGGACCAGCCAGAGCAGACGGCAAGGTGTGTCTCACCAAACCCCTCCGTGGTGCTCGCTTGGAGATTTAGGCCAGCCCAAGGATGGGCAAGCAAATAGTTAACAGTTATTCAGTTCTTAATCTGTACCAGATAGTAGGCTAAACATTTTTTTTTTTTTTTTGCATTATCTCATTTAATCATCCCTGCAGCTTGGTAATGTAGGTACCATAATGATGTCTATTTATAGATAAGAAAACTGAGAATTAGGGAGATTAAGTTCTCATTACACGTCAAAGAGCTAGAGTTTGAGTCCTAGTCTTTGGCTCCAGAGCCTAGCATAAGACCGTGGGGGAAGAGCGGAATTTTGCACATGAGGCCTCCGAGTGGGGGCCCAGATCCTGAAAATCTGGCCATGCTCACTGAGTGCCATTGAGTCTGGTGGCCTCTCAGCCCTGTCCTCCCAGGACGGCCTTGCTTGGAAGAACCTGCCCTTCCCCATTTTCTTCAGCAGTCTGTCCAAATTTGAACTAGGGGATTTTGGTCTTTCTTGGGAAGGCACAAAAGTGACCTCATATTTTATTTTACTATTGAGGTTGTTTGGGGCCCTCCCTTGCTTATATTTGAGCACTGTATTCCTCTCAGACGGAGGAGTAAGTGTATGAGGAAGCTCCCGGTGTCTCCAGTCCCAGGGTGAGGGGCACCTCATGATCCAAACCTTTCTGGGTGTCAGGGTAAGAGAGGGGCTTAGAATATGCAGTGTGCGGTGGGACCCAGCCATTACCCAGCTGGTGTTTCCATCCCTGTGCCTCTGAAGGTAACATCTCTCACTTGTTTCTTTCTGAAGATATCGCCATCGTCAGGACAAGTGTAACCTTTAAGCTAAATGAAGGCAAGTGTAGTTTGCAAAAGGCTGAGCTGTTTCCCGAGGGTCTGCGACCAGCACTACCAGGTATGGAATCAGGTGGCCAGCGCAGGGAGCTTGCCTGCAATGCTGGGAAAGGGGCCGTAACGAGCTCGAACAGGTCAGAATCTCCAAGGACTCTCCTCACAGGCGGAAGAGGAGCCCAGCCTAGCACCCGCTGTAGTTCTGGGTTAGACTGCAGAGCTTCCTGTGCGAGGTACAGACAGGGAAGCTCTGGGGACACCTGTGAGCTCACAGCCATCAATAAGGGCTTCCAGATGCATTCGCACTTTGTGATCAGATTGGGTTAAATCTTCTAGATCTTCAAGTTTGCTTGAAATAGAAGCCAAAGAAATGAAAAGAGGCTTGGCTCAGAAAGCATGCTCTTTGATGGACAAGGATATAATACCCAGCTTTCCTGTTGGATCTCGTTTCTGGAGGCTTCAGCAGAACAAATACCATCCAACTGGCCGTACTGAAAAGAGCAGAACCCAGCACTCTTCTTTCTCCCCAGACCACATTTCCAGTATTGTTTCATGAAATCATTTCAGAGATTAAAAAAAAATCTGAATTCAAGTATAAGGGAGGCTTTTCCCCCCAATCTACCTTCAAAACAAATCATACAAACAAATAAACATAAAGCTCACTGTAGTCACTTTGGGCTTCCTATTTTAAGTAACTAACCAAGATTAATTTTGGTACCTCCATTTAAAGGAATAGTATGCAGCTGTTAATTATATGTTTCAAAGAATGTTGAATGACATAGTAAAATATTCTTGTTATAGTGCTAAGATGGAAAAGGGGAGAGTAACACTTTGTATATCTAATACAACCCATATTGCTGTTGTTTTTTTAAAAGGTAGGTAGAAAAAAAGAAAACTCACCGTATCACTTGTAGTGGTTATATCTGGGCAGGAGGGTGACTGGTGATTTAATTATTTTGTCTGCATTTTCCAAATTCTTCACAGTGGGTATTTATACTTTTAAATCAGTAGGGAAAAGCTTTATTTAAAAATAGCTGAGCGCCCTGGCCAGTCTGGCTCAGTAGTAGAGCACTGGCCTGTGGACCAAAGAGTCCCGGGTTCGATTCTGGTCAAAGGCATGTACCTCAATTATGGTTTGTCTCCAGCCTCAGTTGGGGTCATGTGGGTGGCAACCAATTGATGTGTCTCTCTCACATTGATGTTTCTCTCTCTCTCTCTCTCTCTCTCTCTTTCTTTCTCTCTCTCTCTCTCTTCCTCTCTTCCTCCCTCCTGCTCTATCTGAAGACAAATGGAAAAATATCCTCGGGTGAGGATTAAAAATAAGTAAATAAAAATAAAAACAGATTTGGTCTTTAGTTTACTTAACGGTGTTGTACTACTGTCTATTTCTTAGTTTTGATAAATGTACATGTTAATGGAAGATGTTAGTTAACATCAGGGAAAACTTGGTAGCGAGTATATGAGAACTCTCAGTAGTATCTTAGCAATTTTTCTGTAAATCTAAACTTATTTCAAAACAAAAAATTGAAAATAGAAAGGGAGAAAGGTTCAAAACAAACCTCTCTTAACTTTGAGATTTAAAGTGAGCCTTTTGAAAAGGTAAGATAGATCTTAGGGGAAATACACAGAGGGCAAATTGAATTGGCCTCCTTCTTCCTTTGGCTCCTGATGAACTGTTGAGCTTTGAACATCCTTGTAATGTTAAAGAACATGATACATTTGATATATCAGTTCAACAAAGCAAGACTTTAATGTAGAGAGAAATCGATTGTGTGGATGACATGTGGACCAGCTCTTTGGTTCAGGTTAGCAATCATTAGTTAAAAGATTCACTGGAAGCCATGGAGGGAAGTGGACAGCCAAAGCCAGGCACAGGGATGTGCAAAGCCCTGCCTTACCCCACACTTTCATTCCCATCCTAGATGCCTTCATGACACTGGTTCTGTTGATTCTTTGTGCCATATATTGCTGCTGGTTATTTCAAAATGAGACATCACTGTTGAGGTGCGTTCCAGCTTTGCCTTTGGGTTGGAATTTCCTCAAGGTCAGTTTGCCTGAAAGCAAGAGTTGGTTTCCTTTCTACTCCTGTGCTCGTTCCTTATTTGAAGTCTCAGCCTCTTCTTGGCACATCACAGTCCAGCTTTAAGGAAACCAACTGTGAGAACACAAGTGCACCTTAGCAGACCAGCGGTCGGGAATGCAAGACCACCCTGGTTCCTGTCTGCCACGCCATGTGGCTGCTCAGGCGGAAACATCCAGCATTTATCCATGAAAGTGATTTCCAAGTGCTAAATCATTAAGTTATATAGGAGGCAGTGCTGGCTTTTCAAAATTGAAATGTCATCATACTCCAAGCTGAGGGCTTTCAACGTCCTGGCATCTGGAGTTAATCATTTAGTCCCTTGAGAGTTGTTTTAATGAAATGTTTACTGAGCTCTAGCGAATGCGCCACCGAGTGCTTTGCCGGAACTTGGCTTCCGATGGTTTTGTTTCTTCATACAGAGAAGCACAGCTCAGTAAAAGAGAGCTTCCACTACGTACACCTTACGTGCAGCTCCAGCAAGCGAGTCCCAGGAGCCCCAGGCCGACCGAGCGCCACTAAGGAAATGTTTATCACTGTTGAGTTTGAGCTTGAAACTAACCAAAAGGAGGTGACAGGTTGGTTTGAAAACAGTCCACGGTGCCTGGCTTCTCACAGCTCGCTCCTTATTCCTTTGCTTTTCACTTCTCATCATTCTGGGGTGGGGGGTAGGGGGCGTAGTGCAACCACTGAAGTATCTCCTGTTTTACTCACCCCCAAACTAAACTGGATTGGTTTGGAACCTGATGATTTTACCTACTTCATGAAAACCCAAAGCTACCATTTTGGTCAACAGATTTCTGTTCGTGTCCAATGCTGCCCAGCCTGCTAGGTGCTCAGCTCCAGGTCTCTTCCCACTCTGACCACAGGGAACTGGGGGAGGCGGGGTCCTGCAGTCGGTTCGCTCATCCTCCCCCACTGCAGCCCGCCGTCCTCCCCCACTGCTGTCCCTCTCGTTTCTGTAGCTTCCTGCGATCTGAACTGCACCGTGAAGCGAACAGAGAAGAGGCTCCGGAAAGCTATCCGCACACTCCGGAAGGCTGCCCACAGAGAGCAGTTTCACCTCCAACTCTCAGGCATGGACCTCGAAGTGGCTAAAAAGTCTCCCAGAGCATCCGAACGCCAGACAGAGTCCTGTGGAGTTGGCCAGAGCCACGTAGGAAACCACTGTGGTGAGTGGCCTGCTGGCCAGGACATTCTTGCTAACAGAACTGTCTTCAGCTCCATGCACACTAAGGTAACCAAAAGTCTGGCCCACCCTTCCCTGTCGGGCTCACTCCGGAGAACACCCTGGCCATGCATTCATCTGGGAACCTCATGGTGGTGTCTGTCATGTCTGCTGGACCCGGAGCTCCCTGGCACCTGGCCTTGTGGTGGGCACGTAATAGATGTTTGTTGAATTGAGGGACAGAAGGGAAGAGGCAGGGTGGTTGAGAAGAAGGAGTATTGTCCTTTTAGGATCTGAGGGTCAGTGGTCTTCAGATGACTGTGGTCCCCTGGCTGGGGCAGGACTGCAGGTAAAAGGCACTAAGAGCCTCTGCACACCCCACTGTCACAGTTCCCTTCTTATCTCTAGCTTGACTGATGATGGCAACAAACAATCTCCTGTTCACAATTTTGGGCAGAGGCCAGACTGGGAGCGGCTCAGCTGCCTGATGAGATCCCTGAGCTTCAGCCCAAGGTTCCTCGTGGTGTCAGCTCCATGGATGTGGGGGGATGAGTATGAATTAAACTTGAGACCCAGCGTTTGAGCACCATCGATCCTCTTCCTCTGCCGAAGCTCTAGGCAAGAGGGACCTGAGCAAGAGGTTCTGTGGTGGTCAGTCTTGAGATGTGTTTGTTTGGAGAGACTGTTCTGAGCAATTATGGGAGATTCTATCTGAAAAGTCTTAGATGTAGGAAATTGGAAGTCCCACTTTATAGTAATAATGGTAATGATTTATCGAGTTCTCACCTGTCTCAAGAACAGGATTGCATCTAAGCACTGTAGCTGCATGATCTTATTCAATCCTAACAGGAATCTTGCCAGGTAGGTATTATTATCTTCATTTAACAGATGAATAAACTGGATCTCAGAGGGCTCAGTTCTCTTGCTCAAGATCACACTGATGGGCTGACCCCAAAGCCCGGGCTCTGGTCCCAAGTAAGGGGAATTTTGATAACCAGATCCCTCCAGAATAAGCTGATGTCCTTTCTGAAGTGTCATTAAAATAATGAGTTTCAAGAAATGAAGCTTGAGCTAAGGAGTAAGAAATCAGTGGTTCTGAAGGAGCAAAGACTCATTCAGGAGAATTATCAGCAATAGCCCCACAGCCCAAATCGGTTGCTTTGTCAAAATGTAGTAAAAATCACCCTGGCTGGTTTGGCTCAGCAGTAGAGCATCAGCCCATGGACCAATGAGTCGTGGGTTCGATTCAGCCAAGGGCATGTACCTCGGTTATGGTTCGACCCCGGCCCTGGTTGGGGTCATGCAGGAGGCAACCAGTCGATGTGTCCCTCTCACATCAATGTTTCTCTCTCTCCCTTTCTCTCCCTCCCACTTTATCTGAAGATAGATAGAGAAATATCCTTGGGTGAGAATTTTTTTTAAAAAGTAGTAAAAATTATGTAAAATCAGGTGTAACTGTCCAGCAGAGGCGGGTTCTCAAATGGTCTTGACTTTTATTCCAGCTGACTCTCTTAAAAAGAAAGAAAAAAAAAGAAGCCAAAACAACACAGCTGGTTAACTTGTTCTCATTTAAAAGTCAAAGAGTTCCAGTTTCTGTACCAAAATGGTGATGAGAATTGGCTGTCGCTGTCCTACTTTCTAGGGTGAGCTGCAGAAAGTCTCAGGTTGTGGGCAGGCTGGGCCTCCTCCTGGCCCCTCAAAGCTAAACTGCACCCCTTCCCCAATTAGGGAGAGGCCTGGTGGACTCACCAGGGAGACTTTGTGGCCAGTTAAGAATCCAGGAAAAACTAGTGTCAAGGGCCCTGTGGACCTGCTCCCAGTGAGAGTATTACCAGTACTACCATGAGTGTGCTTCTGGGAAATAAATGTTCAGAAGTTACTTAACAGAGGCCTCATGACCATGACTTATGAAATGCACGTGGTATGGGGTTTATGTAGCTGTTGTGTGTGTGTGAATGTGTCCTGAGATACTGGTCATGTTAAGTTAGGTTGATTTGTTGCTGAAGGAGGCAATGTGTCTTGTCTCAAGAACTCCCTCTAGCAACAGATGGATTTTGTAGTCCATATGGGACCACACCAGGTTCACCCTGACAGCAGTGTTAAAGATTTTACCATGTAGAGGGAACAGCACAAAGAATTACCAGTGAAAATCCTTCCTCCTGCTGGAGGGAGGAAATCAGTGTAAGGAGCAGTTGGGTGTGTGCATTAGACAGGCTTTTTACCCAGCAGACTCATGGCACAGGCAAGCCACAGTGTGTGTGTGTGTGTGTGTGTGTGTGTCTGTGTGTCTGTGTGTCTGTGTGTGTGTGTGATATTCCTGGTCTATTCGATGGTCTTAGAACTTCACTTCATAAATACCAGGCTTACTGGTATTTTCTGAACTCTGGATGGTACATACCGTAGATACAAGCCTAAGATAGTTCTTTTTAGAAATTATTTTCAGTGTCTGCAGAAGAGAGTTCAAAAAAGTGTTTTAAATCACCTAGAAGGAGAAATGGAACCATTGTGTTTTTCCTTTAAAATATTTTTTATTTAGTTTTTAATTATCTAAATAGTGCATGTTTCAGAGGGTACAGAAATGTACACAGTAGAAGTGAAAGTTCTCCCCTCAGCTCTCACTCCCCTCCCTAGAAGTAACCACTGTCAATAACTTGCTATGTATTTTTCCAAAATCTGTGTTTATGCACATATAAATGAAATTTATGCAGTAAATATTTATGGAGGACCTTCTGTGTGCCCGGTACTACCAGCGGTGCTGAGAATCCAGTAATGAAGCCAAAGAGCAAAAATCTCAGGTCTCTCGGAGGGTACGAGGCCAGAGCGGGGAGATAGACCACCACCTACTAGATAAGGAGATAGGCCATGTGGCAGACTGTGGAGGGGTGTGAGGAACAGGTAAGCAGGGAACTGGAATAGAAAGTGCCAGGGCACAGAGTAGAGGTGAGGAGGTGTGTACTCTCCGAAATGTAGACTATGGTTAAGGACTAAGGTCTGGCAAAATCATTTGGGCAGAGATGTGAAGGACGGAGGAAGCAGGCCGTGGATATCTGGGAGAAGTCCCAGGCAAGGGCACTGGCAAGTTCAAAATCCTGAGGCTCTGGAGAGAGGTCAGCACAGTGAGGGCTGAGGAGGGGAGAAGGAAGAAGTCAGAGCAGTAGCCGGGAGCCAGTTCGCCTGGGGGACGGAAGTGGTGGCGAGGACCACCGACTTTGAAGCCAGGGAAGGGTTGTGAGTAGAGGAGTAAGAGTTCTGACTTTTGTCTTAAAAGGACATCTTTGGCTGCTGTGTTGAAAATAGATTATAGGTTTATGTGTGAAAAAAACATGTAAAACTATATCAATATAATTTGAATAGTGCTATGTGGGTTTTTTATTTTTTTATTTTTTATCCTCACCCGAGGATATTTTTCCATTTTTTGTACAGATAGAGTGGGAGGGAGAGAGAGGAAGGGAGAGAGAGAGAGAAACATCGACATGAAAGGGACTTTAACTAGAGTAGATCACTACATGTTTCCATGTGATAGAGGCGCTAACTTCTTCTAACCTCCTCCTCCTCCTCCTCCTCCTCCTTTCTTTTTCTTCTATCCTTACCCAAGGATATGTTTCTATTGATTTTAGAGAGAAAAGAAGGGAAAGAGAGAGAAACATTGATGTGAAAGAGAAACCTTGATTGGTTGCCTCCTGTATGCTCCCCAACTGGGGATCAAATGCAACCTGGGTATGTGCCCTGATCAGGAATTGAACCCGTGACCCTTCGGTACATAGAATGATGCTCCAGCCAACTGAGGCACACCAGCCAGGGCTAAGTTCTTTCTTTCTTTCTTTTTTTTTTTATCCTCACCCGAGGACATTTTTTTTCCATTTTTTGTTCAGATAGAGTGGGAGGGAGAGAGAGAGAGAGAGAGAAACATCGACGCGAAAGGGACATATCAAGTGGCTGCTGCCCACACGACCCAACCAGAGCTGGGGACAAACTGCAACTGAGGTACGCGCCCTCAGTGGGAACCAAACCTGGGTCTCTCTGGACCGCAGGACGACACTCGAACCGCTGAGCCAAACCAACCGTGGCAACTTATTTCTTTTAAAGCTTCCTAGTTCTTTTTAAAGACACTAGTATTTATTAACCATACTAAATAGCCATCTATTGCCACCCTATTGGTGGATATTTAAATTATTCGTAACTTTTCTATTATAAACAATGCTGCCATGAATATTCTTTTTTGTGCACATGGCCAATATTTCTAAAGGATAGACTTGTAGAAGAGCAATTGCTGGGTCAAAGGACATGCATATTTAAAACTTTAATAGATACTGTCAAATTACCCTCCAAAAACACCATGCTAATATATACTCCTGCTAACACTGTATCTGATTGTTTATTGCCCCACTTTATTGCAATGTGGGTCATTTCTCACTGATCTTTTTAATTTTTGCAAATCTGATAAGCAAAAATGATGAAGTCATTTTAACTTGTTTTTCTTTGATTATTTGTAAAACTGAGCATTCTGTCATATAGTTGAGGCCATTTGGATTTCTTCTTCTGAGAATATTCATAGTCTTTGCCTATTTTTCCATTGAATTGTTTCTTTTTCCACTACCATTTAAAAAATAAAATTTAAGCTGCCAAGTTATACCCAAGAAAAGTCACTTCTGACCAATTAAATACTTTCTTACAATCATTTTTATATAGTAAACTCTCATTAATTTGGCATTTAGGGCTTTGGGGACAGCCTGCTCTGCAGGTGACCTTTGTACCATCTGTGATCAATTTTAACAAGATGGGAAAAAAGAGACAGCGATTATATTCTCCAAAGAACAAATTCCTTAAGCTCCATTGTAATTCATAAAATGCTTAATAGCTAAAGAAAAATGAATGGTGACATGATTTCTAGCTGTTTATTGTTCATAGCTATTTATCCTTTCATAAGGAAACAAATTAAGAAATATACCTGCAGCCTGGCCTGTGTGGCTCAGTTGGTTGGGCATGGTCCCATGTACCAAGAGG